GATGGCGGAGACCGCCGCAGAAGACACCGCCTGAGCTCTGGAGGTGGCGATTCACGGCGAAGACTGTTGCTCCTGTCTGTAACGCCCGAGTTCTAAGTGGTTGGTGGCGGGAAGACAGACTATGATGGCGGAGACCGCCGCAGAAGACACCGCCATGGAGTTCTTCGTCTCCATATCATCAGTGCAGTTGCCTCAAAACCTATCTGCATGCTCGTTCTTTTCCTGCTCACACACAATAGTATCATCATCTCCATCGACATCGTTCGTTATCATTAATTAAAATATTAAAATTATTTTTTATTTTTATAATTTTATTAGTAAAATCGAAATTAAAAATATTAATATAATTTTAAAAAAAATTAAAATACTAAAATAACTAACTATTGGGTTAATCTATAATTAGAATAAGTCGTCTTCGTCTCCTTAAACCCTTTGTACAGAAACCCTAACTAATACGGCAAAAGATGTCGTGGATTGCCGCTTCCCTCCTCCGCCGGTCCCTCCGCGTCCCCATCTCTTCCGCTCCCTTCCTTCGCCGCGGCCGTCCCCCCTGGATCACTTCCTCGCTCCTCGCTGATTCCTCCCCACTCTCTTCTCTGTGCCGCGCGGCAGGGCCGCAGGGCCTTAAGCCGGCTTCCTCTTTTCTCTCTCTTCGCTTCGCTTCGTCTAAGGTATCCGGCGATGAGAACCTCAAGCGGGTGATCGATTCCGAGATCCAGTGCGAGCGGGAGTCTGACACCCACGGCCAGGTCCATGTGACTCCGCCTTCTCGCTTAAGCTCCTCATCTCCGATGCTCTTTTGTGCTGTTAATTAGAGTGTTAGTATGGTAAAGTTGTTGCCTTTTTTGTTTAAATCTGTTATTTCTGCCAACTAATTTATGCATTCATCTGATTTTTGTTCTTTGCTCTTTTTGTCATTTCTTTTGTTCATAATTGTTCACAATGATCTTATTGTTGTTTACATATGTTGTCACTTAAGATTTTCTGCTAGTTTATGGTTCTGTTCTCGTCCTTTCTTTGTGATATCATCCCATTCTATATGTTGTTGTTTTGATTATTCAGAAGAAGTTGCTCATATAGGTGATCTTTATTCAGCAGGAATCTATTGCACTTTCAAAGCACGTTACTATTTAAGGAATTCATGTTCAGTAATATGTTTCTTTGTGAGAATAGGAATTCATGTTCAGTAATGTGTTTTTTTGAGAATTGATGCAAGAATTTTAGTAGAATATACCGAAAGTGACTAACCTGAAGATAACATGATTATTTACTTGAATATCTTTGTAAAGATAGGAGTACAAGCAGTCGACTTGTCTTCATTTTCTGAAACCATTTTTGATGACTTTGCGCAGGATTGAAACTCCGTGCAGTAGGTGTTATTGCCCAATTTCCCTTCATTTTTTCCAAGCTCAACAAAACATTCATTAAGTTGCAATTGGGTTTACTTATATGGTTTACTTGGAGCTGATTCCCAATATCGTCTATAAAGATTTGTTACTTTAGTAATCTGTCTATATGCATTTTGCAGGAAGTTGATGTACCAGAAGACTTGCCTTTTGAAATTGTTGATAATCCTGGTGATCAAGCAGTCTTCCTCAAAAGAGAATTTGCTGGTGAGAACATCCAAGTCACTGTGTTGATGAATTTTAATGAGCACAATGACTTAGAGGAGAGTGACGAGGACGATGATGACGACGAGAGAAATGAGAATTCTATGGAGCCAACCCTATCTTTGGTTGTATCAATTGATAAAGGAGAGGGTTCTTTTTTGGAGTTCTGTTGCAACCTCAATTCTGATGAACTTGAAATTGAGAGCATGGTCATGAAGAAACGTGATGATGTTGATGGCCAAAGTGCATATCAAGGCCCCAGATTTTCGTAAGTTTCATTCTCTTGTATTCATTCCATATCATTCATTGGTAGGAAGTTGGAATAGACTGAATTTCTTCCATTCAGCACAAAAAGTAGAACATGTTTTGTACGATAATATTTTTATTGCAGAAGTTGTAATCTCCGGTATGTATATGAACAAATATGAAATATGAGAAGAATTGGGGTTTTGGAAATGTTGCAGAACTAAAGTGATATTTCCCTGTAGGAGACTTTAGAAAGACATCCCTAAGCTACTTGATTAGCCTATACATTTTCATCTAGTAGATGTTTAGGAGATGTCAAGTTTAAGCAGATGAACTGAATTAGTTTAGGGGTTGACTGCTATAGATATATCACAATCATGTAAATAATATCAGTGCCTCCATCTGTTTCTTTTTGTCATGCAACTAGGTGTTTGTACAAGATAGCTGTTTTTATCTATTTATCTTCTATAAAGCCGGTTGTTATGATGGAGTTCTGTAATTTCTTCAATGCCATTTAAATGGTCAGTAAGGCAAATGATTGCATGGCAGTTTAACAAAGTTATAGTGATTGGCGAGTAATGCTTTTATTGAGAATTGAAAACTTGGAAATGCAAACCCCTTAAGCTTTTTGGAGATATGTAGTGATCAATTTTATAACATGTTACATGTCTTTATATGCCTTTTCTTTTTTGCTTCTGCAATTTGGGGGTTAAAACTTAATCTGTGTTTCTCCATGCCTACAACGGAGTTAATTGCACAAAAATTCCATGAATCCAACATGATGCTTTTATCTTGCTGTAGTTATATAGCTGTTACGAAAAAAAAAAAAAGGCTGAAATGCTGGTCTCATATTTACTTTGTGCCTGCAGGGATTTGGATGAGAACTTGCAGCAGGCCTTGCACGGGTACCTTGAAGCTAGAGGTATCAAGAGCTCCCTGTTTGATGTCTTGCACAAATACATGTTGAATAAAGATGACAGGGAGCACTTGGGATGGTTGAAGAACATCAAAGGATTAATAGCTTAGTGAGGATTCCACTTGCTTCTCATTTCAGAAAACGGAGGAGTTTAGGAGTGTTTTTGAGTAATTCATCTCTTTTTTCTACAATATGAGAGTTAAAATGACATATTAGAATGCTACTGTACTGAATCCTCCACCATGATTTATCATGTAATTGACTTGTATTATTTGAATTTTGTTGAAGGATTGATTTGAACACACAATGTCACCAAATTATATCAAAATTATTGTTGGATGCCGTCATTTATCTCACATGTGGGTAATTACATATTGATCTTTGTAATTAATTATGATTAGTATTTCAATTTTATATTTTAAAAATTAGTATTGGAACCTTATATTTATGAAAATGAAATATTTAATCACATTGTCAAGACACAAATAGAAATGATAAAGAATGTTACTAAAATTTTTTTTCATATTTCTTTTGTCTTTTTGTCATCTCTCGGTACGTGTTGTGTTTTGTGAAGATGGTTCCCCGATTATTGCAGTGTGCAATCCCCGATCAAGTTGGAACAGTAGCACTAGCAGCAATAGATTCTTGCCTCCACTTCCTCCTCCTTTAGTTGACTGTTGACTTGCCTTCGAGCTCCTCGTCCTTAACTTCATTGAAATTAATATATAGTGGAATTATTTTTTAATCTTTTCATTTCGTATCCTTATGATTCTTTTCATCGATCAAATCAACATGGAGAATACGTAGGAATATCTAATTACCCCTCTCGCATGAGAGTGACTTTTTGCCGTATCTCCTTCCCACAGTCAAGTGGCTTGCAAGAAGGTCGAACACGACGATGTGAAGACGACCAGGCGAAGCCATCCCACCGTCCATCAACTCCGCCAAACGAATCACGACGACATGAGCCAAAGGATCATCCTGGATACTCCGCCCCCACACACGTGCGTGTCGGCGGAACGTTAATGTGGAGAGCGGCAACGACAACCAACGCTACACGGCGGATCGTTAATGTGGAGCGGCAACAACAACAAACAATACACGACAACGCGTTGAATATGGTATATTACAATTGAATATTTGGAGACAGAAACGGGATCCTAATTTTGGGACGACGGATCCTTCTAGTATATCTAAACTACTCTTCGGGGGCGATGGAGAAATGCATCTGATCCTGCAAAGAGACAAGGGCGACGACCCGTCTTCATCTGCGGTCCTTCTGCTCCTCTGCTCGAAGGGTCGCGAGCTATGGACGAGGGCAATGGCGAGCACCGCAAGGGGGGCGAGACCCCGGTGGTGTTCCAGGGGACGGAGTACTCCCCCTTCCGCACCACCGTCGCCCTCGCCCTCTGGCTTGGCGGCATCCACTTCAACGCCGCCTTGGTCCTCGCCACGCTTCTCCTCCTCCCCTTGCGCCTCGCCGCCGCGTCCGTCTCCTCCTCCTCCACCTCCCCCTTTCGCTCCTCCCTCCTCCTGCTACTAACGCTCCATGTTCCTCTGTTTTGATGCAGAGTTTTCGGGTTTCTGCTCTTCCTCATGTTGATTCCTGTCGATCATAAGAGTAAATTGGGGTCCAGACTATCAAGGTGCCAGCATTTTCGTTTTAATTTCATGGACTTCGAAACCTTCGGAGGTTTCATGACATATTTCTTCTGTTTCTATTTTCTCGTTAAATACTTAGGTATATTTGCAAGTATGCAAGTGGCTACTTCCCCGTCACCCTTCATGTGGAGGACATCAAGGCCTTCAATCCGGACCAAGCATATGGTGAGCTCTTGTCCATCTCTTCCGTTTTTGGCTTATATTGACACAGGTCTCCGTGGATTCTTCTTTATTTGTGTTCAGCTGATATTAGTTTATACATCGAGTGGATTAACTCAAAATTTTTAAGCAGCAAGTGTATCTGATTGCTGCCTTGGTGCAAAATATGAATTGAGTGACTGCCAATGATAGTTGGGATATGGCCGTAAATAATCCAGGGTTTGAAATATTTGCAGTGTTTGGTTATGAGCCGCACTCGGTGCTACCTATAGGTGTTTGTGCTCTTGCCAACCACACTGGATTCATGCCTCTACCTAAAGTCAAAGTTCTCGCGAGCAGCGCTGTGAGATAACCTGTTTCCTGGTCATTTTCTGTATTAAATATCCATACCCTCTGTAACACCTTTTTTTCTTTTTCTTTCACTTTTGATATTCCCTGAATTATTGCTCTGTGTGCATAATATTATGGTCAGGTCTTCTACACTCCTTTTCTGAGGCATATTTGGACATGGCTGGGACTAGTCCCTGCATCTAGGAAGAACTTCTATGCTTACTTGGAAGCTGGGTATAGTTGCATTATTGTTCCTGGTGGGGTGCAGGAGATGCTTCATATGAACCATTTTTCCGAGGTATGCCTTCTGCACCTAAACTATTGAAATCAGTCAAGTGTGTTGCATTTCTTTCATGCATTTGGTGCCTTTCCATATTATTCAATAGTCGACGTCTAGATGATTCTCAATTCACCAGAAGTTGCATGGTTCATAGTATCATGGTAAAAGGAATATGTACAGGAGTTTGATGTGTAGTCATGTGAAATTGGTTGATCTAAAAAATTTATGGTAAAAGTGTATACAGATGATCTCTTTGGACTATGTAATTTTGCTCTCATTCACTTTTCGTTTCCTCCTTAATTTGTGCTGCAGTTTCAATGGAGTTGGATTTTACTTGTTTGCTTTAAGCTTCTAACCCTAAATTGGGAAGCAAAATTATTTATTTAGAACATCAAATGTTGAGTTCTGGTGTCTTTGGCCAAAATTGAGTTGATCAAAATCAACAGAGATAAGGAAATAAACAATATCATCTATTAATAAAGTGAGCAAGACAATTGAATGGTTTGCAAGTTTGCCAGTAACACAAAAGAAATTTCATAAAACTAAGGTAGAAAATCTACAATAATATGGCATAATGATGATCTATATTGATTTTTACTAAATAACTAACTGGAGGTTTACTGTGTCACACATGGAAATTCATTATCCTTAAATTTTATTTCTTGTTTAGCTTTAGATAATTAAGTTTCACCGTGACTATTCACTTCAATAGTTTAGGTTTTCCATGGTTCAACAGCTTAGATTCACACATGAATATTTGCTTCAATATGGCTATTATTTTAGGAAGTTCTAAGAAGTCCTTTAACACTTCAAAATTGAGTTATGATACATCCAAACTCCAATCATTAATACTTTCCATTGGAGTTGATGCAGATCATTGATATGTTAATCAACACTGTTTCAGATATCCAAAGTACCAAAGGTTTCTAGAAATGACACTTCAATTCTTTTAAGATGATTAACTGGGTCAGCTAACATTAAAGAATTGAATGGTAAAATTGTAATAACTTGAAAGGTTATTTCTCAATATTTGAAAATTGAAAATTTTAAACTATTGATCTTTGTTGAAATATCATTAAACATGTAAAAGGAAGAGAATAAATGTATCTGAATGGTGTTGATCGTAGATCAAGTAAAAAATATTTGTTGTGCTATTGAATTCATTTTGTTATAGGGATGCCTGTTGAATAATTAAGATATCACGGTAGGGATAATAGTGCCAGACCCCATGTGGTGCACTACACAGATCCGACAATGACATACTAGGTTTGACCAAATTTTACCTATGAACAGGATTGGTGGAATATGGTCTCCAAAACTGATTATTAATAGGGTGGGGATGCTATAATTTATCCCTAGCCTGAACCCAGGATGGGCGGAATATGGTCTCTAAAGCTCATTTACTATTTAAGTATCGTAGAAGTCACATCCGGGATTTTTAAAAGGCATACTAATTCCCTAGGAGATTATTCTTGGAAATCATTGCCTTCATTGATTATACTAAGGCTCCTAAACCCCTTTAAAGTATTCTAGAAGTCATATTTTGGATTTCTAAAAGGCATGTTAATTCCCTAGGAGATTACTCTTGGAAATTATTGCCTTCACTGATTATACTAAGGCTCCTAAACCTCTAAAAATAATGGAGCTCGTCAATTGATGACTTACTTCAGATTGTCTGAAAAGAATTATATGTTCTCCAGTCTCTTACTCTCCTCTCTTATTTCACCTTTCTCTTTTTTTCTCTTCCTCTCTCTCTCTCTCTCTCTCTCTCTCTCTCTCTCTACTTTCCCACTCTGTTCTGCATCACCTTGAAGGTTAAAGGTGTCATTTGGCAACAACCTATTAAGCCAATACTAAATTTTTATATATTCTTACTTCATCCTTATATTTTTGAATTTGCAGGACCTGAAACCTTATAATATTAGCACCTTTTAGCTTTATCACAGTAACATGCCTCAGCTTGATTCAAACATATATGCAAGTGGGGGTAGAGAAAAGATAATTTCAAGATATGATCTTGTCTGATTTCTCTTGGTTTGGTGCTTATCAATAAATGTTAAAGCAAATCAATCTTCCATTCTCTCCAATTGGCAAGTTACCATATGAGATAGGGATGGTTGGTTGAATCGTTTATGTTGTTTAAACTTGAAAATTTCAGGAAAAAATTTGGTATTTCTGTTGGATCTTGCCTTAGTAACTCATGGGTTATTATACAATCTCCATTAAACATGATTGAGGTTTTGCTTTGCCATGATTTTAGAGCATCACATAGTGTTTAGGATATACCATACTCAATATCCTTTCGGTGAGCATGAATCATATTTAGGTTTACTGTATTTGAGTAACGACTCAAAATGTCAATCTATTTTGTGAGGTAGGTGGGTTTTGGATTATGCCATTGTGGTGTTATCACCAGAATATATCCTGGTATAGAGATGAATCTGAATGCAGTATAATATTTTCATCCAGCTTTCTTGCTTTCTTCTCTTCATGTTAATCGAATAATTGAAGACGTCCTATATGCATTTTTATCAACTATTATGAGTTGTAGTTTTTGCCAAAATGCTTATAATTTAGTCTGCAATAACCTTCTGATGTTCTTGTTTCCTTGTATGGATTTTCAAGATAAGCAATTAGGCAAATATTAACCTAAGTTATATCTGATGAATAGGTTGCTTTCCTTAAATCAAGAAAAGGATTTGTGCGAATTGCCATGGAGACGGGCCGACCTATAGTTCCTGTTTTCTGTTTTGGCCAGGTTTGTTTTTCTTTTGATACCTACGATGACTTTTAAGAAGAACTATGTGTTCTTGATGGACAGATGTTGTCCTGCCTTATGTACATGATGACCAGAAGTCATAGAGTGATCTGCTTGCATATCATGAACTTGATCTCTTGCAATTGCAAATATGGATGCTCTAAATACTGAGTATATGAAAACCTCATTTTCTTAATTGGTTGACAGAGTCATGTTTATCGATGGTGGAAACCTGGTGGGAAATTTTTTGTACCGATTGCGCGAGCACTAAAGTTCACTCCAATAGTCTTCTGGGGAAGATTTGGGTAGCGAACAAATCCGATTGTTGTCTTAATCATGCCAGTCTACTAGCCCTCTTAAACTTTGGCTACTTTCCATATTAACACTGGTTTTTTCGTCTACCATTAATGTTACCTAATGTTTTGTGATTATATTTCTCTTGTTATGCAGAACACCTATACCATTTCGGCATCCGATGCATGTCGTAGTCGGAAGACCCATTGAGCTGATGAAAAACCCTAAGCCCACTACGGATGAGGTAATGAAAAATCAATCTTTTTACCACAATATTCTCCTGAATCATTCAAATGAACTTCCTACACCTGAGGCCCGACGACATCAAATTTTCTTATCACACTTTTCTCCTGAATAATTAAAATGAATTCCCCAGACCTGCAGCCCTCCTTGTCGTCGAGCCTGCTGCATGTTGGTGTATTACATTTTGAGTTAGAAAAGAACATCAATTCTCATGACTCAAGTTCATTTCATACGTTCTATCTTCTCCTAGGTTATTTATAATATTTAAAATATGATTCTTTCATTTTCTGATTTTTCCAGATCAATGAGGTTCATGCCCAGTTTGTTCATGCTTTCCAAGAACTCTTCGAGAAGTACAAGTACAAAGTTGGGTACCCTGATCTCCAAGTCTCTATTCTGTGACATGTACATCTTCCATGCCTTTGTCATCTGAGCTTGATGAACCTGAAATCGAGCTTAGAGAAAGTCACCGGGCCCTGTTATCAAACTGCATGCATGAGCGTTCCATCAGGTCAACAATGGGAACGAATACTGCTGCAGGCATTCTGAAGCTGAAATACTCGTCTTATATACTCTGTTTCTGAGTAAAAAATCGGATGGATGGATAGATGGATGTACAAATTTGGATAGAAATATAAATCTGCCGACCTTTCATTGTAATAAACGCTGTGATCGGCTTATCACCATTTGAAGAGTGCAGCTATACGAATGGAATACTCCTCTTCCTCGTTCTCACCAACCCGTCGAGCTTCATCGCTACTTCTCTCGTGAGGGGAGGGGCCTGTCGTCCCCCTTAAGTTGAGGCATCTCTTCGCCAGCTCCGCCACCGCTACCATCAGCTCCTGCTCTCCTTCGTTCACCACACGAAGCTCCGCAAGTATTCCGGATCCAGGTATGTGAGCTGTTGGATCTCCTGGGCGTTGGTTATCTTTGATTTCTTGATGGTCACCATTTTGGTCGTCACACGGAGCACCTCAGATCTATCTAATGCAGGAGGGATGCCGGCGGGCCATCGGTGGAGTGCACGCAGTAGCTATTGGAGGAGACGAACGCGTGTGTCCTTCAAGAAGCCATGGCCGCTGGGACTGAAAAGATACGGACATTGGAGTTCTTCCGGAGGCGAATGGTGGTGGCGCAGCTGCCGACGCCGAAGCAGGAGGTCCCCCTGGGCATGACGTCGCTTGCTGTTCGGTTTATCACTGAGCAGTTAAATATTTTATTTTCGTAAATATAAAAATCTTAATATAATTTTTGAAAATAGAAAAATCAAAATACTAAAGATAACTAATTATAAGAATAATTCGTAATTAATCGGCGCCAAGTTGGAGGGCCCGTTTGCCTCCGCGAGCTATGGACGAGGGCAATGGCGACCGACGCGAGGAGGGCGAGCCGACGGAGTACTCCCCCCTCCACGCCACCATCGCCTTCGCCCTCGCCTTAGGCGGCCTCCACTTATCCTCGCCTTGGTCTTAGCCGCGGTCTTCCTCCTTCCCGTCCGTCTCCCCCCCTTTCCGCTCCTCTTCCTACTGCTACTAACGCTCCATATTCCTCTGTTTTGATGCAGGGTTTATGGGTTTCTGCTGTTCGTCACGTTGATTCCCGTCGTTGATAAAGAGTAAATTGGGGTTGAGAGTATCAAGGTTCCAGTTTTTCCCTATTGATTTAATGATCCTCGAAACCTCGAGAGGGTTCATGACAGATTTCGATTTTCTCGATAATTCTTTATTTGCTTGGTGGTAACAAAAATACTTAGGTATATTGGCAAGTATGCAGCTGGCTACTTCCCCATCACTCTTCATGTGGAGGACATAAAGGCCTTCGATCCGGACCAAGCATTCTGTCCGAAAGAATAAAAGATAAAATAAATTAAATAAATTATTGAAGAAGTTTTATCGAAGAAGCCTATCAAGATTTACAGTTATTAATGGACCTACTTATAAAATTTTGACTTTGATGGACTTGTTTTATAGTTATTAATGGACCTATCAAGATTTCGTTTTGATATGAAAAATTCATTTACACCTTATAAAATTTTGATTTTGATGGACTTGCTTTATAGTTATTAGTGGATCTATCAAGATTTCGTTTGATATGAAAAATTTATTTACACCTTACAACGGACTGGGACTAAGTTCTATGTATCATTTCATAATAAATTATTATAGTCTTCAAACATTGTTACTCATCATTCAAAAATTTTTAAAGCTTGGTTAATAATAGACAAACTTCAAAATAAATTTGAGATGTGCTTCCATGTTGAGATCCTTGGCAACAAATGAAGATGATAAAAATTTAATAGAAACATTATTAGAACAGAATTTAGAGATAAATATTAGATTCTTCTTTTATTATTAGGAACATAAATAAATAAATAAAAAAATTAAGGAAGAGAAAAGATTTGTAGAATCAGTAAAACATTTATGATCATCTATCATGATATCCGAGGAGGAGGCAGCAGTTTCGTGGCCATGCGTTCTCACATATGATACACGCATATGTGCTTTCCAATCGAAGTCGACAGCGTGCACTATTAAGCATCCACGAAAACAAGTATATGATAATGTAAACTATCAGGCAATCACCATCACTGGAACGATAAATTTCTAGATGTATCAAATGTACCTTGATGAGGAAGCCTTATCAACTGGGCTTGAATACTTTTGGATTGAATGGACTGAGACTGTTGATTGGTAAAACAGGTGGAGACAAGACAAGTAATACATCTTCCCTTTCAAAGGTGCTCAAGGGATGTTATGATGCAGTGTATTAAGCTTGTCTTGAGCTTATTTTATGCTGGGATTTCCCTATTTGTAAAACATTCACATGTTAAACCAAAAAACAAAAAGAGAAAAAATAGAGCGATAATGTTAAGACAAATTGATAAACTAGATTAATTTAAACTCTTATTTGACAATCTAATAAGAGATTGACATGAGGTATCAAATAACCTTTTTAACATAATTGTTTGACAAAAAAAAACTGTAAAAAGACTGACCAGCCTCTGTAGCTGGTTTTCTTACACACTCTGTCTGCAGCCTTCTCCATTATCATCAGTGGTTTTCAGAATATGCAGAGACAAACTCTCCATCTGTCATGTTCACACTATAAAAGAAGATTCTGACAAAGAGTTATCCAATATGTCGAAACAAACTCTTAATCAATTACATAGTTTTTCAATGCCACCAAATCTTTCTCACAATCTTCTTAAACCATATATACTAAAAGACCAGCAAGCATGAGCCATGCTTGAACTCTCTGAAGTTGATGGTGTAAAAGAAAAACTGAAGATGCTACATCGGGTGGACATTTACAATATAGAGGTAGGAAATACACTTTTCGTAGAGAGGATATAGTAATATATACTTCGTTTCCATGGGAAAAAGACTGCCTACCAGATGCTCTCACATGTCTCTTCCATTTCATCTCTAGAGCACAACGGTTAGTTGCCTCTCAAGATGAAACTACAGGAGTCCAAGTGTCTTTAGCTGCTGAACATGCTCAGCTGGAAGGGGTGGCGGGCACCAATCAGTGCCCTCGCCGTCGACGTCCTCCACGACATACTCCTGATGAACACCGACACACCATTAGAAGGTTTAGTAGAGAATACTGGATGGAATTAGACGGGAAAAAGATATCAGCTTTGGCATAAATTTCTTGTTTTGTGCACTAAAACAAAATGAAACTGCGAAGCAGGAAAATCGATTCATGGCTCTTTGCTTCAACAGGAACAAAACAAGGAAATGAACTGCTTACACAGAGAGAAAACAGGACTCACTTTTGTTAGCATCCGTTTAGCAAGTATATGATAGTGACGCTGCCAAATTCGTTGGCCGACCATTGTTGCCACGAGAACACTGTAAAATATGCCAATAATGGTGAACAGCCCAAGAATGATTAATCCTATTATAAAAAGCAACGGTAGACCAGCTTCGCCAGCCCCTCCCAAGCATCCACATTCTCCTGCTGTACTTGCACAACTTTCAAAGCATGTGGTACAATCGGTCCACATACAGAGGGTGCCAGGCAGATGACAATCGGCACACATACTGAAAAAACAAAAAGAAAATGAACGCATCAAAAACATGTAGAGTAGGAGAACGTGTGGAGATGGGAAAGAATGAGAAAGTAATCCATTTTATTTAATGATTACATTAGGTTTATACAAGATTCACTTAAAAGCATATACATAACAAATCACATAGAAATGGATTTACACTATTACAAGATATGACAATTCCAGAAACTAAAGGATAACAGATGCTAACCCTGGTTGACAACAACAAAGACATAACTCTCGACATGGCTGAGCCAAATCATTGCGCACTCGTCGATCATAACAAGTTATAAAGCATCCGGATAACCCAAGCAGCGCGAAAAATAATAGTGCCCCTGCATTGTAGATAAGCATAATGACGAAAATTAGCATGAATATGATATAATGTCCAATCTAAAAGATCCAAGTATTATGAGATATAAAACAACAATGTACAAAATTTTATGGTCGAGACAAATCTTAATACATAAGCATGTGAATCATTATATTCCAGACATTACATAGTAAGAGAGAAATTATCTATTTTACTGGAAACAGTTTCTGAACATGTGCTGCATGGAATGTTGTCAGAGAGCATAAATTTGTATATTAAAGCTCTTAAACCTATGAAATAATGACTTGCATGAAAAAGCAATAGCTATTATAGGAAATGAAAATTGTGTAGTTTAGGCCCCATGTTATACAGGATTTTCGTCGAGAATTTCAAGATTTTAGCCAAACAACTCAAAAGTTCCACTAAATAATTCCCACCCTCACATCCCTTCCCAGAATAACCTTATGATAATTCCACTTTCCAAATCCCCCTAGAATCCGATTTCCAAATCCTGTTAAACATGAAGATTTCATTTGGGAGAAACACCATAAAAAACCCACCTTCCAGAACTCACTCTCCAGATCCTAGAATTCAAATGCCAACAGAACACATGAAATTTTCAAATCCTACAATTTACAAATGCCAACCGCACTTTTGATGCTTCAACATAAACAATGCACTACAACATGAACAAGCATGAGATAACACCTTTATAATGTAATCAATAGATAAAATCATCATGAAGTGCTCTTACAGTTTAGAAGCATACCACATACATAGTAGAAACTAATTTTGCTGTCAAAACCCCAAGCCAACCGCAACCAACTGTTTTGAGAGCTATCAACCAGAAAGACCAGATATGCCAACGAAGATATTATCTGTCTCGAATGCACAGAAAAAAGGATTAGTGCAAAATAAAAATGTTGGATTATTATCAAGAATGAGATGGGAGAATTTAAGCTTACGAGTTGAACAACTGCAAATATAGACAGTATGTCCCTAGTAACAAAGAATCGGAACTTCAAGGTTCTCCATTTCCTGTCTGCATGAACATGAACCCTCAAATAGTATGGAGCCTTGCAGGTTGTGCAATGGGAAAATGCAAAACCTTCCTGATGAAAATGAAAATATGACAGAAATTAGCTACCTTGGAACTGGATATATTCACAAACATTTATGGAAAAACAGAAGAGAAGAAAAATATCAGTGAAACTTAGGTGGAGCATTTTCTAATGGCATATTGTCAGCCTTTAATCCAATAAGCAGATTTGGCAGTTATTACTACTCTAAACTTGATTTGATTTGCATAAATTTGACATAAACTTTCTTTTGCAGTTCTAACATATGACATTAGCAAGCCTCTACATTTGCTGATCATTCAAGTGATTTATTCTTGAATTGCTGGAGATGGTCCCTTTGCCCCGTCCATCTACTCCGACCAAAATGCAATTATTTCCACCAAGTGAGAAGAGAAAGAAACAAATTCCCATATATCCAACGTCAAGTAGCCACTAAGATTCTAGTTTAACCATTGTAAAAGTAACTATATCGTGAGAAGATAGGCTAGGTAAACAAAAAGCATTTTACAATTTCAGATGTACCAAGGCATGCATTTGTCATGAATAAATCATCCCTGAATTTGATTTTGGAAAATTGCAGATCACTGCTGACAGAGTGTTGGCCAGACTTTTTTAGAAGCTTTACTGTCTCGATCCACGTTCTTTTAAATGGTGAATGACAGCATACTAATACAGGAAAGGACATCGAACAGCTTTGGCCAGTAACTACCTCTAAAATACTTACATGGTGGCAGAGACAATATAATTACTGAGACAGCAAAATCTCAATTGGTTTAAATCTGCATTCTTCTAAATAATGAACAACAAATGAATGATGCATGAAAAACAATTTTTACCATTAGGTGCCTTTATGATACTTAAATGATTACTGGAATAGGACAATAATTAAGGCAGCCTAAAATCCATCATCCAACGATATGGATTGTGCTTTTGAGACGCTATATGCCATCAATTGCAAAATTTTGAAACATACCTGTCAAAAAAAAAAAATCTAGAAATTTAATTCTGAAACTTTCTTAGCATGTTCCGGGAAATATCTTATCTTTGTTGCCCTCTCTAAACCCTATCAATAATACATTATTTCCTCTAATGACTACATCCTCATACTTTCATGTGCACAATGATATCATCTTAATCAGTCATCCATAATGATTATTTAGTAGTCTGTTTCTTAGTGTTCCTACGTCTAGCGACCTAATTTTTCCTCAGCAGTTCCACTGGTATGCCCATCTTGCACATATGAAATATTGTTCAGACCTAATTAATCCTCAGATTAGAAGACATCTAACATTGGATCCTTCCTGATACCTTAGGATACTGAATCGGACATCACATTTCAAATTCATTTCACATAAATAATAATAATAATAATAATAATAATAATAATAATAATAATAATAATAATAATAATAATAATAATAATAATAATAAAGAAAATGTTTGCATAATTATACTCGTGATTATCAGATCTGATGTTTGCACCTCACACAAGAGATCTATGACAAAACATGATTCATGACGCCATTTGCTTAAAGAGCAGTTCATCAACAGGATGTTCTGAACATACTTGAAGATGCATAAATGCAGCATAGGCGCTAAAAACCCTATCTACTACATACACAATTCGTTCACTCACCTTGACAGACCGCCAGTGGTCCAAGCATTCACGATGGACGTACTTGGAGGTCCCCTTGCACTTGCATGGCGCTATGAAGTCCCTTCCTGAAATTCCAAATTCCAATTATGAAAAAGGAATAAGTTTGCAATCAGCTCAGGTGACTCTCTTTTACTCCTCTCATAAACCTTCTATGTCTCAATCCCAATCGGAAGAACTTCCACGTTTGGAGAGGCAATCCCCACGATTTATCCCAAAATTTCATGGGGGTAGTCAAGACCCAATCTTTAATTGCGAGACAAAAAACAGAAATCGAAAAGAATGTGAGAATAAACCCTAAAGAAAGGGAGGAGGAGAGAGGTACAGAGTAGAAGGGGAGGAAGACCACCATCAGTTTCGAGACAGATCCGGCACTGGAATTGCTCGCCAGGGCCAGCTTCGAGGTCGATCTCGTTGGGGTCCAGGACCGGGATCGGCGCCATGAGAGGGGAAGAGCTCTCGGGATCCGCCATGCCTCTATGTATACCGAAACAGTGAAAAGAAGGGCAAGGCGGAGGATGAAGAGACAAGAAAAGAGATTTCTCTACCTCTCTCTCTCTCTCTCTCTCTCTCTCTCCTTCTCGAAGAGGAGGGAGGAGGAGGGCATGCGAGTTTGGTGATGAAGCGTCGACCTTCTCTTTATTGGATATATATATATATATATATATATATATATATGTATGTAGAAAATAGAAAATATAATATATTAACCTTTTCTGATAAATCCCCCATTGGTGGTTTTCCTTAAAATGTGATAATTAGTAGATAATTCCATCCACCACCTCCTCTGCACGTGACAAAGCTACCTATTTATATTCTATCCATTAGTGTTAGGGTTTAGTTAAACTTGCACGCTCGCTCCTCGTCGATCATGGCGGAAGATCTCGCGGATAACCCTCAGTTATTCGAGGGAGACGAGCTCATGGCGGAAGCGGTGCCGGCTGAGAGCGGTGGCAGCGCTGAGAAGAGGAGAAGAGAGGAGGCCGGCGAGGAGGACTCTGTTTCGAAGAGGCAGAAGCCGGAGGGTTGTTTGGAAGAAGAAGGGACGGATGGAGTTGAAGGAGAGGAGGAAGTTGGAGGCGATGTGGAGGTGCGAAGAAGCAGGGACGGTGGGGAGTCGGAGGTGGCAAGTATCGGACCGAAGGTGTTTACGTCGTCAGTGGAGATGTTTGATTACTTCCTGAAGCTTCTCCGTTCCTGGTTGCCCAATCTTAATATCAACAAGGTGCGCCTTTTGTTCCTTAGCAAATTTCCTTTCTTTACGTTGATACAGGAAAAAGTTCGTTTCTTTGTTGTTAATTCGTTTTGGAGACATGATTTGTTTAGTTGAAATTACCTTAATCTTGCTTGAACTGTGTCAGAAAAGGATCCATAAATATAGTTGAAATGTGCAATCTTGAGAAAGAATTTGTGTACGTGAGCTTGGAATTATAACAAACATGTGGTGGGAGAGTGTATTGCTGCTGATGCAACCTTTTATGCTTTGAGTTGCTAAGGGTTACGTTTGCCATACGCTTTTGTTCAAAACTAATGTTTTTATTTCATAAAAGAAGAAGCAAAATTTTATATGAATCCCTTTTTGCATGCATTTATTTAAAGACAATCACACCAATAAGAAAACAAGAAAGAAATTTTTTAAGACACGTGTAGAATTTTCACCTATTGTGCACCTGCAATTTTGGATCTGAATGTTGACATTGAATATATTATGTGACTGAGGAAGATATGTAAGTTCATGTGGTTTCCAAAAATTTGACCTCCTTGAGTTAGGAGAATTGTAATTCCAGTGCTATTTCTTTATATAGTTTTGCAAGCTAGACCACTTTTAAAGAGTCCATGGATATGTAGGAAATGAGCTCCACAGGAGTGAGGGAATGGATTTTGAAGCACTCCATATGATTTGAGTATATATGCATATGTATTCTTGTTCAGGCAAAAATTGTATTCAGACTAAAAGGATGTTCTGATGACTGATTCTATATAGATTATTTGGACTTCTTAGAATCTTGAATCCAGATTGATGCTAGTCCAAAGCTGATTGTTGAGTGTGATTCTAGGTTGATCCAAGTCAGTTGCACTTTAGACCAGCTTCTTGCTGTCCCCAGAAAATTCCCAATTAGTCTTTTGTTGGTTTGGTTGATTTTAGCACAATCTTCATTGATTCTCACTCATGGTTGAACATTTCAGTCCTAATCTGGTCCAGTTTATGCTAGGATCTCGACATAAAAACCTATGGTGTTTCTCGATCCTGGTAATGTTAATTTTATTCACAAGATTGACTGCTGGGAACCACATGCTGCAAATAAAACCTGGAATGCTGTAAAAGTTCATGTGGGATATTTGGTTCAAGTTGGCATGCACTACAAGCAATTAAGAAGATACTAAAAATCAAATATTTATTCGAAATAAAATGTTTTTATTGTGATGATAACTATTAAATCAAAACTAGTAACTGCTGGAAGCAAACTTAAGGAGAGAAGTAATTGAAATTGTTGGAAGAATGAAATTTAATCGATCTGGATTAGCAGCCTACTGAGTTAGTGTTTGAAGCATGTTGAGGGTAAAAAGTGATCTATTTGATTAATTTAAGGAGTTGCTCTGGATTGGCAGCCTACTGAGTCAGTGTTTGAAACATGTTGAGGGTAAAAAGTGATCTATTTGATTAATTTTAAGGAGTTGGATCTGAATTAGCTTGTTGATTTTAAGTGATAATTGAATTCTTTTTATCTTGTTTGTAGAAGGAATAAAGTGATAAGTGCAAGGGAGAAAATGACAGTATCACTTTACCTCCAAATTGCAGTTATCCATTTCAGTTCACCTGATGCTGGAAGGCAAATCATCTAGTACCAATGCTTTCGTTGGTGTTATTGGTTTTGTTGATTAGTTTGGTAAGCTATGATGTGCAACACTTGTCCTGAGTTTAATGTGAATTGATAATGAAAGGATGAGATATGGGAGATTGAATATTGGTATCTTGCATGTTATGAAAAAAAATCATTATATTTTTCTACTGCACTCTCTGTTTATCCGACAGTTTGCTCATCTTAGAAGAGTTGAATCTTTTGGTAGCTTCAGAGAATTTGCTCTATGGATCACCTCATGTTATAGTAGGGTCTACTTGGCCTTGTTCATTTTGACTTTCCATTACCAATTAGATCAAGCTGTACACTGTTTCACGTTGTTATGGATTCTCTCATTGGAAGTCTTTCTTCCCCTTATATCTCTTGCTTATAAACAAATTGTGGGATCCTTCATTGATGAATCCGATTTCCAGTTGATATATGGCATCCTAAAGGTGCTAAACTGGCAGTTGTATGTTGCATAACATCAATATTGTTCATTTATTTATCATGTTTGTTCTTAATATGGGATCTTATACAGTAATTTTTGCTCATTATCAAAGAGTTTAATAACAGAAGTTATGTTTTTAATTTACAATAGTGCTTTTTATATTTCAGTATGAGCACATGGTATTGCTGGATTTGCTGAAGAAGGGGCATCCTGAACCTGCCAAGAAGATTGGAGAAGGAATCGAGGCATTCCAGGTGCGCTATCACCCGACATATAAAAGTCGATGCTTCTTTCTTATTCGGGTCGATGGTACTACTGATGATTTTAGCTTTCGTAAATGTGTGGATAAGATACTCCCCTTGCCTGACCATCTGAAAGTCCAGTCAACATCAGATAATGATAGGGTTTTGGGCAACAAACATGGAAGCCATCAGAGAGGAGGTGGCAGAAGAGGTGGTCGAGGCTATGGAAAGAGGGGTGGTTTCAGGAAATGAATGTCAGAATTTTTTTTTCCTTCTGATTTAAAATAAATGCCAGATTGAATTTTATTTTACCAAAGGGAACCATTATGCACGAGTGCTTTTTATAAAATAGAGCCTTCTTTCTATTGGTATGGATGCCATGTCATGCATTATTTTGGTGCCTTAATCAGGAATTATATGTTCCCATCAGATTGTCATAATCTCATTTCATTATGTTACTTACAATTTAATATAATCGAGAGCAATTTGGTGGTTCCTAAAAGAAAACATTTAATATCTCTCTAATCTTTTTGCCTGTGGTAGTGCTAAACCTTCTGTGCATGTAGTCGTGTGATGGAGCTTGATGTTATCAGTGTTCAAGGGCTGTAATAATATTGATCATTTGGATAATTTTGGTGTAGTGTTGGTTACATGTCTCCTGAGTTCAAGTGCGACGATATGAATGTCGTGTCTACTTCAGTGTTCAAGGGCTGTAATCGAGTGAGTGCAGTAGCTGTTGGTATACAGTTTCTTTTCTTTGTATCTAGGTCTTAAAATTTTGATATTCTCAACTTAATAAAGTATCCCTTTTGGTCTTGTGTGCATCAAGTAGCAATTCTATAGTGTCCTTGGAGTCCTCTTTTCTTTTCTTTTCTCTTCTGGATCACTGATGTTGATATATTGTGGGAGCAAATCTGTCTTGTTGAGAGGAACATTTAGAGTTCATACTGATAGAGGCTAAGATGTATTGTTGTTGTTATTGCATTTTCTGTACTATACTGGCTTTGATGTATCCTATGATGTATTTATTATCAAGTGAAGTGATCAATCTTGAGTCAAAAATGTGCATGATAAGTTGCATGTAGTCTCAGATCAGCCCAAGAACATTTGGGAGGCAGCCACTATGAATAGACACTGTATTAAATGTCTGCATTCAAATATAAGACTTGAGGACAAGAAATTGTTCATCCCATGCCTTTTTGGGTTTCAGAAACCAGAGAAAATGTATATGAAAAAAAATACATGCATTTTCCTTTTATCCTCTTTTTATTTGCTATTGAAGAATAAGAAAAATCATTTTATGCAATTAAATATACTAAATCATTGGGTGTTTTTATATTTATCTTTAAATTTAAGTTTAGTCTATGCACAAAAAATTACATATTCCAGTATTTATGATTATACTAATACATTAGATTTAATAATATAATTCTTTTAATGTATTTGATCGAAGATCTTACTATCAATAATCAAATTATTTATCAACTAAGCTAGTTGAATATTTTTAAAATATATTGAATAAGATATCGAATCCTTAACTCTTAGTAAGTAAATCGTCTCGAATTGACACCATATTAATATTTTAGATGTACAAATTTATGGGTTAATATTTTAAATCCTCTAATCCCAAGTGAGGGAATCATCCTATTGTTTTAGATAATTAAATAATAATTAATGTAAAATTCTTAGGATGTATTTAAATGCACATATTATTATTCATTACTACTAAACCAATATTTTAGATATTTATTGTTAATATTTTATGTTATTAAATAATTATTAATGTAAAATTGAAGGGAATATTATTCATATGCTACAATGAAGAATAGAAATAAATATGTTCTCTCCTAATTTGGAAGGGACAGATACGTAATTTTAGAATATTATTAGATTTAATATTTTATTTTATTTTATTTTATTTTAAGCGATTTGGTATTGACGCGAGCAAACGCGCGGTGAGTCGCTCCGACCACATCAGAAGATGACCGGGAAAGGCTGATCGATCCTTGGGGTGGTGGAAGCGAGCGAGCGCGATGGCAAACGCTGGCAACCTCACGGCCGAGCAGCTCCCGGATTAATCTTCCGGGAAAAGAAATCCAATAGTTATTTCTTGCAAGGTGTTTGATTCTCGAATCGTTCTCCGGCAAGGAAGAGGTCAGGAAGATGAGGGATCGAATGGCGGAGTTGTTGGACGGGTTCGATGGGTCCTTCTCGTCCATCTTCTCCACGAAGAACCAGGTATTAGAACATCACGAAGGTCTTTGGTGGTTGTAGATCGAACAGGGAAGAGGAGAAAAAAGAGGGTTTTTTTGCATTTGATCTCTTCTCTTTACATTGATTTAGCAGCAGCATACGGACGATTACTTCTTTGAGGGCGCCGAGAAGATCTCCTTCTTCTTCGACGGTCTGTGCGTAATGAACTTTTCTGTTTTGGTCTTGTTCGGTCGCAAAGATCGTTTCTTTTTTGGTTAGAAGTTGTGTCGTTAATAAAAATGTTATTTTACTGATGTAGCATAAGCTAGTCATGTTGAAGTTGCTACATGTGACAGAGAAACAAATGACATGAGCATATCAACTGATATCTCCACTTTATAGTAAGATATGTGATTTTCTGCGACTATGCATGGATAAATATGAAAATATTTGAGTTTTAGATGGGTTCATACACAATCTTCTCACTAAAAGAATGTCTCTTTACCTTGACGATTTACTTCCTTCAAAATTAAAGTTAGTCCAACTGGTCTCTGACATTGATTTACAAAAGGCACTGATGATGGTGTTGGACACATTTGTTTGAAGAAAAATAGATTGCCATTATTTACCATTTGCAGTCACTTTTGATGAAGATCTATCCAAGAGAATCTGGTCCTTAACTACTAATTTGATTGTTGGAGTGAATGCATTTGTAGTAGGTGAGTTGTAGTAGAAGAGTGACACTGCGGAGATTCTTTAAGAGAAACATAAAATACTGTGGTTGTGAGTTGCTTATGCACCTGAGGCAGCAAAGAGATACTTGTTCACGTTGGAATTATTATATTAGGATGTTTCTGTGAGCATTTGTAGTAGGTGAGTTGTAGTAGAAGAGTGACTTTGGAGATTCTTTAAGAGAAACATAAAATAATGTGGTTGAGGTGCCTATGCACCTGAGCCACCCTTGTTGGCAAGGTTCATATTGTAGGATAAGCTGTGTACAAAGATCAGATTATTCCACGGCTTACATATTCTCATGCTGATATAATGTGATGTGTATGCTTCATTGCTAAGTTGTTGCATCCATTTTTCTTTCTTTCTTTTTTAGTTTTTTTATTTGCACGGATTAGTTTCAAGTACCGTGCTATCAGCTCATTTTTTTAACTAGCTTGTTATTCTGTGAGAAACTTTTCTGATGGTGCTTGCAGAGAATGCATTTGGAGAAGATGGGCATTTGAAACAGCTGAAGGAGCTCTCAATAAATAAAGTTGGCCATGGTTTGTCCGCCAGCTGTCATGCGTAATTGACATTTCATGTAGTATATAACACAAATGTGTTTATTTATAGTCGGATGTAGATATTTGATATCTAGCTTTCTGATTTACTTCTAAGAGAATTTATTTATTTATTCTCATCTTCCTCTGCAGCACTACATGAAATAGATCCTGTCTTTAAAGAGTTCTCATTCTCGGACAGGGATGCTCTGCTCATTGGATTACAAGAGAACTGTGGTTATACAATCCATGTATATCTTTAAGGTACCTTCTTAATAGTCCTAGTTTGGCTGGATGTCAGAAACCTAATCATATCCATGTTTGTTGTTCATATTATTTCAGCTAATAAGTTCATTGTTATTTGGACTTGTCGTGCAGCTAATATTGCTACAATCAAAATCTTATGATACTTGGAAGCTACCTAAGACAAATAGATAACATGAAAATTAGGTCTTTTGTGTTGAGAGTTTTTCTTTCTCTGTGTCTGTTTTTTTATGCTTGTTAATTGATTGCAAATGTTGTATATTACCAACTTAACAGTGATTGTGATCTCTGTACAATTGGCAATTTAGCAACCAGGCATTAGTGGGGAAGCAGTACCACACCAGGATAACTCATTTCTCTTTACAGATCCTCCATCTTGCACAGGATTGTGGCTAGCACTAGAGGATGCAACTATCACTAATGGTTGTCTCTGGGCCATCCCTGGCTCCCACAAGTGTATCTTTCTTTCCTAAGCTTCCTTAGGTTTTCTATTTTGTTTCTTGTTTGATGTCATATACTATATACTTTTGACATTGATTTAGATGGCCTAAAGAGGAGGTTTATTAGAGATGAGAATGGGGTTCACTTTAATCATCCTTCACCATCCTATGATCACAAGGATTTTGTACCATTGGAAGTAAAAGCAGGCTCTCTAGTGGTTATTCATGGTGATCTTATACATCAAAGGTAGTATTCTTGGCATCATCATTATTTCTTGGTAGTGATTGTAGACTTGACTTTTCTTCTGCAATTTCCTGACAGTTTTGAGAATAAGTCTCCCAATTCAAGGCATGCCTTGAGCTTGAATGTGGTGGATACCAATGGACATGTATGAGCCAAAGACAATTGGTTAGTATACAAATTATCCCTCACTTTATGTAGATCTTTGCTTGGTGTCTTATCTTGATGCTTTATATCAAACACTCAAGATTTTTTTGAGAACCAATCTGATCCTCAGCCACCTCAGCAAGTAAAATATCCATTTGTTGTTGGCAAAATCACATCTTTCTTGTCTCAATCACCTTTCTACTCTGTTCCAAGTGATGGGCATATTATTAGTTCAATAGCTGTGCACATCAGATTGCCGATGCTCCCTGTTGTGACAAATTTCCAATTAAAAAGAGGTATTGAAGTGCAATTCTGTCTTCTGTGAAGAACATCTACCTTGAGATTAGTTTCAATGAGTGACTTGGGCTTTGAGATCGACACAAGTGTGCCATATCATGCCTGTGTTGATAAGGACAATCCTCATTACATGCATCAGGAGTTCAGAAGTGAAATTGTGTTGGCATGCATGCTATAAAATGATAACTGAATTGTTTAGAACATGATGCTATATAATCATCTGTTAATCTTGTTCTTGCAAGGAAGTTTAGGATTCAGGTTTCTTCTTTTGGCTGCACAATTTGAGATGTAACACAAATCGACTACTTTCTTCCAGGATTCAGAGAAAAGTTGAACCTGAGCCAATCTATGCCAGTTGATGGAAGCAGCAATGCACCAAAGAATGCTTCCTACTCTAATACTAGAGGATCCAGTGGCAGTATCCAAACTCAAGGATGTTAGTTCTGCTATACTTTTGTGTTTGTCATAACAATTAATCCCTCTCTTCATCTTGGAGATTTATCTTAAATGAACTTGTATCACAGGGATGATAGTTCTGCAACACTTTCTCGGTTGTCATAATAATTAATCCCTTAGCTTTCTCATGTAAAATAAAGTTCCTTTTTATTGCAAACAAACAAAATTAATTTATAAGGTCAATGAAAATAAATATTTCAGACCAATCAAGTAAGTCTTTATTTTTTATTTGTATTCATTTTAATGATTTTTCATTTTTTTAACAAAGAGTGAAGTTCTTCTACAAGCTATTGAACTTCACAGAACAAAAACAAAAAACAAAAACAAAAAGCAAAAGCAAAAGAAAAGAAAATAGCTTTCTTTAACACTTGGATGAACCAAGAGCGAACTAAGAGCGAAGCTCTTCCCAGCTGTCTCTGCTCGTTCCATGATACAACCTGAACCCAAGAAGAAGAAGAAGAAGAAGAAGCCTTTATGAGAAGACGACGTTACTGACCCATTCAGTTGGGCAGAGAGATCGGTAGTATCGCTGGAACTTCTCGCACTCCGGCGACTCTTCTCCTTTTGCCTTCCTACACCTGAACAAGCAACCAAGAGAACCACCGCTTTAGAGAGAGAGAGAGAGAGAGTTACTGGTACTCGAGGTAGCGAGCGTAGCAGTGGCGAGTTTGGTTGGTGTAGGGGAAACGGAAATCGTTGGGCGCCGTCCCGATCTTTAGCACGTCTGTCTCCGGCGGAGGTGGCGCGTCGGAGACGGTGCCTAGCTCGCGAGCTGGTCGCGGAGATTGCTGTCCCCGAGTCACTCTGCACGTCTCTCGACCTCATCTTGTCGTGCGGATCAACCACTATCCGCCATCTCTCTCTCTCTCTCTCGTTCTCTCTCTCACTCTCCGCTGTTCCCATATATAATGCAGCACGAGAGAGAGGAGTACGACCAGCAAAGTAGCTCGATATGGCCACCTGGCAGATCTGGAGGAGTCAACACAAATGTATCAGCAAAGGCTCAACTGACTTTGGAAGGAACAAGTGCCGCATGCATGGTTGACCAAGCATATTATTAGCTAGTTTTGACTTTGGAAGAACAGCAGCACACATGGGAGAAGTGCTGCATGCATGGTTGACCAGCCATATTAGTAGCTAGTTTTGACTTTGGAAGAACAGCAGCACACATGGAAGAGTGCTGCATGCATGGTTGACCAGCCAAATTAGTAGCTAGTTTTGACTTTGGAAGAACAGCAGCACACATGGAAGAAGTGCTGCATGCATGGTTGACCAGTCATGTTAATGGCTGCATGCATGTTAGTAGCATCACAAGTAGCAGCAGTCACTAAACTTATCTCACGAACACCAATGGAGTTCAAGAGGGCTTTCCATTAGTACAGATGCCAAGTTTTCCATCAAGTTTATCTTATTTGACGCATGGATCGAAGCTATCGGAAACCCGAAAACCAACAGCCTCCTTGCACAAAAAAAACATATTTCTCTTCGACAGATTTGGTATCAAACAGCAACGCTGAGAGCGCGCTCGATCTCTTCTAGTGACCGTCCCTTCGTCTCGACGACATTCCCAGCTATGTAAAGAACTGCAAGCAGGCATACTGTTGCAAACCCTAAATACACCTTGCTGATTCCAAACTTGTTCACCACGCTCAAGAAGTAGAGACCGATCACGAAGTTGGAAACCTGCACGGAAGGATTCAAGTTAATTAGCCGGTCTATAGGAAAATGTTTGAACAAGAGAATCTTAGTGAACTGAGCTCCTTCCATTTACTTCTCCAAGGAGGCTATAGAACAGTAGGAACTTGTCTCATCAAAATTGTACAAAAATGGGTCTCATTGACAGAAATATGTCAATGCTACCGAATTTGATATAGTTCAAACTTGCTGCTTCGCTACTCGATGCAAATGATTGGTGGAATAGATGATGAGAATCCAAAATTTTCACACTTGTTCTTGCTGCTTTACTACTTGTTGCAATCAATGCAAAGCTCCTTTCATTTGTCATGTATCATCAATCCAGCTGAGTACAACTGATACAGCAGCAGCAGCAATTTCACTTCTAATCTGTGCTCAAGAACATAAATCCTCCTGCAATTAGCTACTCCCTACTCCACACCCTAAAATGGCTTAATGATCATCATATTAATGGATAATGTTTCTAATCATCTCTCTCTCTCTCTCTCTCCAGGTTAAATTACCTTTCCATAAATATAACTATATACAACTTGGCATATCTGAGGTTTTTTTTGTATTATCTTATTCCTCAATCTGTGCTCAAGCACATGGATCATACTGCAATACTATAACACATGATGAAATGATCCTATGGCCATCACACACTTTATGTACCGTTTCTGACCATGTCTTCAGTCTTCCTCTCCCTCTCTCTGGGGACCTCTAGTTTTAACTACCTTTTACATGAGCCTTCGACAGCATGCATATCTGAGTTTTTTTCTCCTTTTTCCCTTTTATCGTCGGTTACCACCAATCACACATCCAAAACAGAGAATGTGTCTGTTAAATTCTCAGATGTTTATGCGTAGAAGATTAAGTTGCCTGTCTTACCCAATGCATGCCAAGAGACAATGCAACTGCCTTGGCTCTGATCCTGGAAGCAAAAATCTCCGGGAGGAGGAGAGCCGGTACAGGGCCAGCACCCAGTGAAAAAGACAGCACATATCTGTCAGAATGCAATTTTAACCAAGTTAGCATATATCGATATGAGTAAACCTCAAAAGGCTTGCAAAAATTACAGAAACAAGGGGAATGAATATTGCACTGGAATTATATTCACTTACAGGACTGTGCCAACCACTGCAAGTGTCCCTGAATAAGGTGCAAGGGGCTTCCATGTGAATGACAAAGAAAGCAGCAACATGGAGGCAGCCTTCAGAGATAGCAATATAAATGATCGGTTAGCAATTTATAACTTCCCAATTTAAGTGAAAAAAAAAGATCAGTTGGAGCAAAACATAGCCCTTGTAATGATCTCTACACATCACTGCCTAGAATTGATATGCTTGGCTTTTGGGACCATAACTGCAAAAGTTTCCTACAAAATTATCTGGTTCCTCAGACAAAAAATTATTGCTACAGATGTTCATGCAATGCAGCAAAGATATTTCATTTAATATTTGAGGAATTTTCAAAACTAAACTGCTAAATTTTCAAAATATGAATTAAAAATACAGTAAAAAAGTAATGCCAAGAAATTATCCATATGCACTCTAAGTTACTTCGATTAGTTACATGCTTCAAGAAAAAAGATGGACTACCATTCCACTAAAACTTGTGATCAAAAGGCTTTTCCTTCCTTGCTTGTCCATCAGAGAAGAAGCAATTGCCGTGCCTGAAACACCATCATAAAAACAGTGGTATATATCACAGTTTATGGTACTTAAACAAGGAATTTTTTAAATATATGTGGAGTATATTGGGAATAACAGGAAAGTACCAAAAACATTTGATGCCCCAACTAAAGCGCTAGCAGCAACATCAGAAGCAATTCCCGCACTACGGAATACAGATGTAGAATAGTATACAACAGCATTTATTCCAGCCAATTGTTGAAACAAGAATAATGCTGCTCCAACGCTCACAACTGCAGTTGAGAATGTGATCAGGAAATTAATTTAAATTGAATGGTACAATTCACATAAGCATTGAATGTATACTTCAAGGAATACAGTTATAAAAAAGAAGAATGATGTGAACATGTAGTTTTCTGTAGTCACATCAGCACATCAACCGAAGGATTTTTGGCGGATAAATAACATTTAGGTGATAAATTCCTATGGAAGGCTCAAAGGCTAAATCTATGTAAACCTATAAAATGATTGTTATGGAGATTAAATGGAAACTCATAGAATCAAGGATTAAAATCTTGCTCCGCAACCAGTTTCGGCTATCAGTCAGACTGGTATGGTACCGATATGGTCCACTATCTTTTGAATAAATAATAAAATAACGAAATACCAACAGGTACTGGTCCTTGGTCAAACAGACCTAAATCGATCAGTACATATTAGTCTGATTAGGATTTGAATCCTTGCATTGAACAATCAAGAAAATATAAGGCATAGTTTTACTACTTTAATCATGAATGCTAGAATCTATTTTTTACTTAAGAGCATCAGGAAACAAATTCATAACAAATCATATATTCAAAATTCAGGGGAGGAAAATTTATTTTATGGTCAAAGTTATAATACAGTTCTGGAGTATCACAACTATCATTTAGGTTACCTTTCCAGTAGCGTTTACCGAAAAGATCGAACCAACCAGCATCTGATTCGGTTGTGCCTTCACCACCTGCTCTTAAATCATGCATAACTTCAGTAACCTTTTCTTTTCCATAGAGCTTCTTTATAGCAGTTTCAGCCTGAAGAAGCTTTCCTTGCTGCAGCACAGATAATGGCATGGAGTTGAGCATGCAACGAGGGAAGAACACCATCACTGAAATTAATACAATAAACAAGAACCTGAAACAGCCAGCGAGGGCTTTCAGGACAGAAAGCCATTCCAACTGCCATCAGAACAGAGGGAACAATTGCAATGCTAAACATTGTCCTCCACCTAATCAAAGGACATAAATGTTATGAGAACAGTAACTACAGAGTAAATGAGAAACATCATGTAACGATTATAAAGACTACATTCCATATTTTGCATAACAGAAAAAATAGCATGACAATATGAAAATAAAACAACTGCATTTCCACACTATAAAAACAGCAGCATAAATTTAGCTTATTCAAGTTTATGATGACAATACCAACAATAAGATGGGAGAGGTATTGAGGTATTATCCACAAACTATCAAGATTATCAAATTACAGAATGTATCGAATAGCAATCAGAGAGTAAGGCAATTCAGGTACCAATAACATGCATTTAATTAATCATTTATCATATTACTAGTAACGTGGGACAACATAACCTTACTTCCCCACTAAAGAAAAGAAATTAACTTCTAGAAATGCTAAATGAACTTCATTAAAAACAAAACCAGCAAATAGAAGTTATCAAAACACTTAGTCATTTTGCCTTTTGTATCAACTGCTAAAACTTTGGTAGTTCTCACTTGATGTCCTAACAACTTGGAGACAAAAAGATCTACAATAACCTACATGGATTCCATATTACTAAATATATTCTACTAATTAGATGTTAATTAATAATATAAGCTGGAACTGAATCATATAAGAAAGATGTCATGACGGCTTTTGTAAAAAGCCAATCTAAATCCTGAAAACATATTAAAAGGCTTAACAGGCTTGCTAATGTACTGAACCAACCAAAAGATGAAAAGCTAATAATATAGAAAAACTTTGATAACGCATGTCGCAGTCAAAGTTGAAGTTGATCAAGGGAGGGAAACTTAGAACTGCTATTTATTAATAATGCAGGCAGAATCATCCATGACTCAGGAAGCAATATGACAATACCATTTTTCATAATGCTCATTTTGGATACTTAGTAATTTCAAAATCAATGAAATGAAAGGGAAAAAGACATGTTCTTTGATTCAGTTGTGTTAATAGAATTATAAAGATTACCATTTTTACGTAGGACCTAGCCTGATTTATAATTTTTTTATTTTTAAAAAAGTTATGAAAAGAAGCACCTCATATAAATTTCAAATCTTCATTTTGTTTCTTTTCCTGTTAGAATGTTGTTAAGATACCGGAACTTCAGGAAATGAAGTCTAACGACTCAATAAATATTCCCTTTGAGTTTGCCTATGGATACATGTAATTCACTTTTGAACTGAATATCACACAAAATATTGACAATAAATACTTGCAGTACGAGATGTTAAATTACAACTAAACATGTAACTCTAGATACCAGATGCAACAAAAGAGATAAGTTGAGAAAAATCCACCATAAAGGATTTCCTGCTAAAGGCAATCCAGCCACCAAAGCCATGAGAATACCAATGCAAATGAAAAGTTGGTTGATGGATCCAAGTGCTCCACGAATTTCAGTTGGTGATATCTGGAAGTTGCTGATGTTTTTTAGCTATATGAGCATTTATATAAGTTTACATGCTATGATCATCACATTGGATGCAAAATTCAGTAACCTCTGATATGTAGAGTGGCACAATGGCAGAAGAGATCCCAATTCCAATTCCAGCAAGCAGTCGACCAATTATCATTGTTCGTACATCTTGGGCAGTTGCACTGCAACAAGATCCTCCATCAAATTGGACACCAGGATCTGTCAGCTAAATAGAGTTTTTCTGTATAACTAAATCAGTCATCAAACCTGAGAAAAGCACCGACTGCAAGCGGAATTACATCAAGCTGGAAAGTTCGGGTCCGACCAAATTTATCAGCCAATGCTCCCCCAGTAAAAGAGCCGACAGTTGCACCTGCAAGAAGGGTGCTAACAACCCAACCTGCAAGTGAGAAAAATTAGAGAACTTTTGAGAATCTGAAAAGATGATAAAAAGAAATCCAACAACCTACTAACATAAATGGATGGAAAGGCCTTGATCAGCACATTTAGATACATTAAGTAGTTCTCATGAGACTTTTGTGTTTAGATGAAACAAGTCTCCATGCTTAACTAGAAGAACCAATTTGATTCCATCACCACTAAGAATAGGAAATGACTGTACCTTGTAGAACAGTATTTTCCACAATTGCAAGATCCCTTGCAAGATATTCAAGTGCTCCATTCACTACACTGCAACACAGATACATATCCAAACATATTAAGACCAGGGAATCAATTCAACTTTTGCATCAGGGAACTACAATGGACAAAGTTCCGAATCTTTTAAAAGAATAAGAACAAATGGCAATTGGTATTGCAGTCATTTTTTCATGCAGCTTCAACAAATTAGATTTGAGAAAAAATTACAGTAGAAAGTTCCCAGGAAATATCATGGACAAGAAAAAGCATGGTTATGTATTTGAATAGTATTTTGGTCAGCTTTATATGGGAAACATACCCAAGATGATATCCAAACAAAATGGCCCCCAAGCATGCTACACCAACATATGGCAGAACATTTCCTGATGATTTTGTCTGAGGTTTATCAGAAGGCACGCTCTCAAGGTCACCTGAAATAGAGTCAACAGCATAAGTTGCTTACTACAGATACTCATGAGAAGAAGAATAAGTCGCTGAATGGAAGTTCAAACAAAGTGGATAACTTTGGTCATCCAATTCCACATAGGACAACTCAGCGAAACTGTGGATAACTTCTTCATATATGAAGATCGCAGGAATCGTCACCCAACCCACGATGATGAATCAAATTAGAGTTAGATGAGAAATCTTTTGAATCAGAAATCGCATCAATCCAGTAACATCACCAACAAAATGAAATCTTTTTTGTATCATTTACACTAACGCATCAAGAAAAGCCAATAAAGAAGGTAAAAATTGAAAACAAGCGATGCGGAAAGAACGAACCAGACGCTTGGACTCTGACATATCGAGCTTTCTCCCTCGACCTAAAAATCCCCTCCATCCCGCTCCTCATCCGCGCCATCTCCACCCCAAAACCGATGGACGATCCAAGCCGCGAGCTTCCGCCGCAGAATCCACGGTCCGGCATCCACAACCTGTTCGATCCCGCCGTCCTCTTCCCGACCACACCAAAACCAGCCGAAACCCTGTTTCCGCGACCCGGGAAATGGAGGCCAGGTACACCTCCTTTGGCAGCAACCGCAGCGTTCTGCATCATCTTTCCCTTCTAATCCCCTCCTGTCACATAAATAGACATAGTAAAAAAAAATAGGAACGATTGAAAGCGCCTGCATTGATGGGGACAATTCTGATCTCGACAGACCAATAAAACAACAGCAACATAGAGAAATCACCCAAAAAGACGACGTTTGCCTTACAGCAAAAGATTGGCACTCAATAATCGAAACAATCGATTCAAATGGGTCAGGAAAGAGAGGAAAAGATCGATCTTTGAGAGCCGTTACCGATCAAGCTAGTCCGAAGCGCAAAGAATCCCCTTGTGGGCGTCGACAGGAGCGAGAGAGAGAGAGAGAGAGAGAGAGACTCCAAAACAGAGTAGCAGAAGCTTGGAACGATCCGCTCTCATCGACGGAAGAGAGACAGAGAGAGAGAGAGAGCGCAAGTGGCGGGTTTGGATTCCACAGTGCAGGGGAAAAGGTCCAATACTGCATACGTGTCACATGATAAGGACGGTCGCACGAGATTTTGGTATTACTATATCTGTGACAGATCGATTAATCTCCAATATATGTTATATATTAATGTTTCTATTAATGATTTAGAGGTTTTAACGTATATTTCCATCTATTTCAAAATTGTGTATTTATCCTTATAAATTTCATGTGAATATTATATTCCCCTGTAAATATTGATGTTATCATAAATTAATCATTTCTATAGTAAAAGTAAAAAAATTTATATTTCATTTGATAATTTTTTCTTAGAATATTAGTTAGTTTGGGTGATAAAAAGATATTAACCACTAATATTAATTTTTTTGAGTTAAATGCATGTACTTTTATATCATAATAAAATTTTGGAAAGATATAAACCTCAATTAGAGTGTCAAATAACAATTAAATGACTAGTCAATCAACATTAACTATAAAATTTAAGTATGTTTTATTATAATTTTCCTTAATCTTTTTTCAACAATACACTATTTCGGTGGAGATAAAATCGGATTGAAATTAGATTAATCTAATTCAAATACTTAAGTAGTTAGATTCAAGAATAAACAGATAGTTTCCTCAATATTATTTATTAATTATTATTATTATTATTTCTTTTTAAAATAATTGATAAAGATAAGATTCTATCCCATGGAAATGCTATTTATAATCAAATAATTTTATCAGTTAAATATGAATTTTTTTTTAAGAGTATGTTTATTTTTATTTACTTATTAATTTTAAAAATATATATATTTTCTAAAAATAAATATTTGAAAATATTATAATAATAAATTTTATTATATAATATGTATTAAAAAATTAAATATATTTTAACCAATAGTATTTACATCACTTCATATTTAAGATATAAATATGCACATTATCCGAATGCACATTAAAAATATCTTTAAAAATATTTTTAATTATTTAATACAATAACATCGGATATGTTTGGGAAGTGAATTCGATAATAATAATAATATTATTATTATTATTGTTTTATTATTAATATTAAAAATAAATAAAATAATAATATTATTATATAATTTGCTGTCATTTCTGTTGTCATTGCGGTTCGACAACCGAAAAGGAAAACTGCGGAGGCGCAGCGGCCACACGCAGCCACATGTCGTCGGCCACTCTCTCTCCTCCTCCGACCACCGCCTTCTTTTCCTCCTCTTTCCTTCTTCCTCATCCCATCCAAATCCCCTTCAACCCCACACGAAGGCGACGCTTTCTTCTCCGCGACTCCTCCAAGCGCTCCCGCGCCCTAGCTTCGCTCCCCGACGATTCCGAGGGAGCCAGGCCGGAGTACACGCCGTGGCTCATCGCCGGCCTCGGAAACCCTGGCAACAAGTACCAGGGCACTCGGCACAACGTGAGCTTCCCCTCAACTCATTTCGTTAGGAGGGTTCCTTTTTCATCTTGTTCTGATGAAACCTCAAGGAACGATGTCTTCTTTTCTAATTTTCTGTTCTTTTTTAGGTCGGGTATGAGATGATTGATCATATCTCTCGAGCTGAGAGGATTACGTTGAATACAATCCAATCCAAGGCGTTGATAGGAATTGGTAAACAAATCCATACGATTCGCTCTTGTTAGTGTTCCCTTGTTGGTGCTTAATCTGTTTGATCGATATCCGGACTGGTATGGAGTCAGTGCAGGTTCCATTGGAGAAGTGCCAATTCTATTGGTGAAGCCCCAATCATACATGAACTACAGCGGAGAATCAGTAATTTACTTTCAAATTGCCCCTTGAATAAATATTGTAGTTTGCCATGTTGGTTAACATTTGTGATAATCTATCTCATTTGTAGTTGGGGCCACTTGCTGCATACTATCAAGTGCCGTTGCGACATATTCTACTCGTAAGATAATTCTAGTTGGGAACTTTTTGCCAATGATTTTGAGATTTTATCTTATTTTGAAGTTTTTGGTCTCTGTAGATCTATGATGAAATGAGCTTGCCAAATGGTGTTTTGAGGCTTCAACGAAAGGGTGGTCATGGACATCATAATGGGTGAGTCACTTTGAAGAATCTAATGTAGCTTCGCACGGTTGCATGTATTTCTTAACCTAATTAGATTCTGCTATACTGATTACTAGAATATTCAGCACTCCTATGATGATAATGGATTTGCCTTTTTTATAAATTCTGACCACTAGAAAGAAGTTATTGTTCTTCTAAGCAAGGTAAACAAGTGTGTTTGGTTGTCAATATTTGTCATTTGTGAGGCATCGATCAATAGACTGAGGATTTTATGTTAGTTCCTTTCTCTCTACAAACATGAGAGACTTTCCTCTCCCTTTTCACACAATGTAACCATTGTTTGACCCTACATGACCCTCCAATTTCTTTTGTTGTGTTCTTATTGTACTATTTCTTTTTTAAGTCACTAATCAATTGTTTAAGACTTTGATTTCCTCGATATCCCCAGTCGACTACAGAAGTCTCTACATTGACCACCCTCTCCATGTCCATCATCATAATATTCCTCATCTCAACATTTTGTAGATTTGCTAAGAGTTTGCTAAGGACATTGGGTTTGAATGAGCTGGTAGCTTAGTAATTATAATTTGATTGTTCTTTATACATGACTTACAGGATTTTAATATCGTAAACATAGCTTCTTAAATCTGTTGTTGGAAACTATGCATGTCATTGTCAAAATGTTTTCTTTTTTCTTTTTTAATACCTCTTTTAACTTTTCAAACCCTAAGGTCAAAGTAGTTTCTCTCATCCAATAGGGGATCACTTCAGCTAATTTGCAGGTTCTTTCACTTAGCTTCAGTTGTCTTGCACTGTAAGATTTAGTCAGTATATCTCATAATGGCAAATACAAGTGAAATGATAATATCCATTCTCAGTGTCTGCTTTTAGTAGAAAAATTTACTTATCATGGGAACAAGCATGTCTTGCATATTGTTATTTTGACTAAACTTTTAAGTACAACCACTAAATTATTTTACATTTTTCAGTATTGTTCATGTGTTAATATCTTTATCATTTTAATTGAATAATTTTTTTCTGATGGATATCACATTCTTTGTTTAAAATGGTCCTATTACATAATGTTGCTTTTTAAGCACCTCCTTGATTAGTCACAGTTATTTTTTTGCAGAGTGAAGAGCGTAATACAGCATTTAGATGGCTCCCGTGACTTTCCTCGGCTATGCATAGGTTCTGTTGCATCATCACTCTCATTAAATTAGTACTTGGAGGAAATGGTTTGCTTTCAAAATAATCTTATTCCCCTGTATTTTAGGAATTGGTAACCCACCTGGAGCTATGGATATGAGAGCTTTTCTACTACAGAAATTTAGTAAAGAGGAGCAAGTCCAGGTACATATATGCTTTGTTTTATTGCCAATATCTTTTGGATGAAAATTTCATTCACAAGCTGAATGTTCAGATGCAGCCTTTAAAAACCTATTTTGTGCTTTTTCCATCAATGCGCTTGAAAATGCAACTGATCTTCTGGGACCCTAGAATTAGAAAGAACCAAAATACATAAACTTGAACAGGGGTGCAATCTTAATGTATAGATTTATATTGCATATTCTGGATAACCTGTGGTATATACTATTTGTTAATGACATTGTACCGATCGGTGAAAACCACATTAATGAAACTCTAAAATAGAGGCATGAAGATGAAATTTCAAATTAAGGACTTTAGACCAAGCACAATTAGGAGCAAATATAGGACGTGCAGCTAGTATTCTTGAAATGGACTGAAAAACTCCAAAATCATAAAATTTCAATTTAGATTGATTGTGAAACACGAATGGGAGACTAAAAAGCATTACTTAGAGTTAAAGGAAAATGGTTAAATTAATAAGGGCGAGCATTGTGCTCACCCGTTGGATTACAGAAAAATTATAATGATCCGATTATAAAATTATCTATGCATTATGCTTGGAAAGTTTTGATATTAAGAAAACAACAAATCTACAAGGTTTTGCGAAGATTAGGATGTTGGATCAGATGTATGAAGTTAGGGGAAATTATAAAATAAGAGATGTTTGCATTAGTAGACAACTAGGAAGCTATCAATGTAGTATTAGAGAACTACTTAATGTGATTTGCACATGTTCAGAGGAGGCTTGTAAATACATTGATTAGGCATGACTAATTTAGATTAATGGTGAGAGGATACATATAAAGGCATGAAAACCTTTGTTAGAAATGATAAAAACTAACTATAGCCGGAAAGGATCCATGTAGCAGACCTCAAATAGCTAGGAAATATGTCTTGCTGATTTTGTTGTTGTATCAGATTGAATACTGCATATGCTTAGGGTTTTGGGATGGAAAGTGCTAAGAGAAAACTTGTTTCATCTTGGTCCATGTTTTCCAGATCAATTATGGTAGTCTAAGTGACCAGGTTGAGGTCACTAACACAATCATCTAAATTCTTGATCTTATATATTATGAATAAGGTTCTAATTTCTAAACCTTATTTGCACTGAAGCAAGCATAAAACAAAACCTTTAGTTTGTGATTAGATTTCTTTTTCTAATTTCCAATCTAAGTCATGAATGAAATGATAATATCTTTCTTAGAAGTTGAATGTTCCTCATTATGTTCAGATGTGCTAATTATGTGCCTTTTTGTTTAGATGGAATCTGCTTTCGAACAAGGGGTGGAAGCTGTAAGGACTCTTGTACTTAGAGGTTTCAGTGGAAGCATTGATCGTTTTAACTTAGTGCAGAAATACAAGTACCACAAAGTTTGAGATTGTAAGTCAGAAAGAAATTTTGAAATGTTCTCAACATAAGACATTGCAGAATGTGTTCAACGTGATGCACAGGCTGAGATTAAATGCTTGCAATTTATTGTGACTAACTTCATTTTACTATTATCATCTAAGTGTATGTTGACTGATATACGGAGAGGAATGAATCCCGAGGAAGGAATGGACTGAGCATGTATGAAGCAATTCATAATCAGTGTTTGTGGTAGCAGAAATATAAAAAGGAAGTTATATAGAGATTAGGGAAGTAAGAAGTTATTGAAAAAGTATGTTATGTTAAAGATCATACCCCAGAAAAAGATTGCATTCTTGGTATGCAGAATGGTTGAAGAGTTGAAAAGCAGCTTGTAATGCAAGATTTTTATCTGAGAATCTTTGTAACAGAAGAAGTAATAATAATTATAAATTATAAAAAATAAATAGCCAAAACATAGGCAATTAAATCTGTGCTGCTTGATCTATTTACAATGCCTACTATTGAATCTAGAGCAGGCTTGCACTTGGGCTTTTTATAAATTGGCCTGTCATAATCATATAAAAGCCAGCCTGATCTGAAGAGGAACTGAATTCAGGGTCTACTATATGTTCATCCTTCTTCCAAGGAAGATTAGCCTAGTCTGGACATGCACTTTATCCATGCTAACTGTGTGTGTGTGTGTGTACCATGTTTGAATATATGCAGTATTGATCTCCATTTGATGACTTGAAGTTGATGTTTTCCCTGTTTTATCGAGTCTTTACGGCTCTATGCCATGCCATGCTATGCCGATGGATTTGTATTGCTGTGGTCGGTGAGAGAAGAATGCAAACAGGTTTTTCAATGGATGATATGGTCATGTATGAGAGCTATGTTCAATTTTCTTCCTGCATGACTCTGTAAGTTGCAACAGGTCCTGAGTTGTTTAGATAGAGGCATGCTCTCATTATAGTTAGGTTGGTATATGCATGTGATGCAAGCAAGATGAAGGTGCCAAAAGAAAAAAACCAAGGTGGATCATCAAGAAATGTTGCTGCTAATCCTGTATTCATTCATTCTATTGTCAAATCATGATGTAAATATCAGTGATTGTCATGAGTTTGAGACTTCAGTTCTTTTTTGTTGAATCTGTATGTATTAGTTTGTTTTTGTATTTAAGGTTATTTTGTTCTGATGTGAAATCAATGGACTCCCAAAAAAAGTTGTGGTTTCACCAATGAGAGCTCCATCAACTGCAAAACAAAAGGTGAACATGATTGGAGAATTGCTCCAAAGGAACTATTCAACACTGCAAAGCCAAAGAATAACATGAATTGATATGGAGGGATATGTAGATCTTCAATTGTTTGATTTTATTGGTGTCCTATTGAGTTGTCATTTAACTGAAACTTTTGGCTTTTAATTTCCAATTCTAGATAAGAGTCTCCCCCAGTCAAAAAGAATAAAAAGATCCAAGTCCCACACACAAATGCCAACTTTGAAATGATGCTGTTTTGTCAAGACTACCATGGGTCTTCTCTGGTATATTTTCTGTTCATCAGCTCTAGTGTTTCTGTGATCATTGCAATAAAATCATGTTTATGGATTGAGACTTATGAACTTCCTGTGTTTGTGATGAACTTGATGAACAAGTTCTAACCACCTAAATAGTGATGGTACCTTGTACAAACTAGCTACTTTACATTATTTTTCTTTCCCCCATGAAGAAACAAATCCTTAATGTGTTTCAGAAACATTTCCTGAAAATAAAAAAGCCAAACAAATTCATAGAATACAAAACAAATCAGTTTCTCTCTCTCTGTCTCTCTCTCTGTGTGTGTGTTTGCTAAATCATTAGATTTCTTTTTCTCTCTTTTGCTCAGTGCAAGACTTCATATCATGTTGATAAGCATCATAGTTAGTGATTGATTAGACACAGTGTGCTTGATGCAACATACTATGTGCCTGCCTGACAAAGTTGGATCTTTCTCTATACCTATGACCATATGGTGTGTTATTACCACACAAAATTCAAATATGTGTGTGTGTGTCTTCTTTTCCAACATACAATGTTCTTCCTTTACCATATAATTTGGCCAATAATTGGATGTGTTCTTTGAGGGTGAAAGCAGTGAGACCAATACCAGTGATGGAACTCATCAGATGTATCTGATGGTCTATCACTATCCATCATCAGTAGTCTAAGCACTATGGAATTGTTTGCAATAAAGTGGACACACAGGGTTTTTGCAATAATCTTCCTCATTAACATGAGATAATTCTTATCTCATACATCATATATTTAGTCTCATATTGATTGGAGAATTGAAGATAAGATTAAAACTTTGAAGTCTTTTATTTCCAACTAAGAAATGAGGTCATATTTAATTTTATATTGATTGGAGAATTGAAGAATCAAATCTTTTTGATATCCAAATGCTGGATTTGTCATGTTGGGCTCTGTCACCAAGAAAACCATCACACATCTCATTCATATATATTGCTTGTGAAAGAGATGATGAGCTGCCTGCCTTTTCATTTCATCTAAAACCATCCATCTCTTGCTCCTATGGGGGAGTTCATCGATGAGGGTTTCAGCTGCCTCGAACCCTGCAGTGTCTTCATGGCCATGGATTCAAGCATGGAGCTGCTGTGCCAATTCCCAGAGCTAAATGACACTGCCATGGATCACCCAAGCTCGGGACTGATGTGCTACTCTGATGAGAACTCCTCATCTCACCAGACCGATGAGCTCTTGACGGCAATCGTCGGTAACCTGACAAGCTTACTGCCTGCCACTGCAGCGTCCGCCATTAGCTTTGCAAGCAACAACAGTGCTCTCTCAGGGACTGCAACGAAGTCAGCAGAAGCAAACCCTAAGAAGAAGAAGAAGAAGAAGAAGAAGAAGAATGTATACATACTGCCATGCTGATAACTAGGTGAGAAATCTTGGAGTGTCTTACCTTCCTTCTGATCTCTTCCTTCTCCAGGGCTGCAGGAGAAGCAGCTCGACGGAGGAGGACATGCCAAAGGAGGTGGTTCATGTGAGAGCAAGAAGAGGCCAAGCTACTAACAGCCACAGCCTAGCTGAGAGGGTAAGATGACCAGACTACAGCTCCTCATTGGCAGCTCCTAATCACCTGTGTTCTGATCAACATGGCTACAGGCGAGGAGGGAGAAGATCAATGAAAGAATGAGTTGCTTACAAGGCCTGGTTCCTGGCTGCCACAAGGTACATACTAAGCATCAGTGACCTCTTCTCTTGTTTGCTAGATGTTCTACATAGAGAGCTTGGATTCGCAGGCAATGGGGATAGCAGCAATGCTTGACGAGATCATAAACTATGTGCAGTCGCTGCAGAACCAAGTTCAGGTGAATACATACATACATATATCTATATATATACGAAGAAGATAGTAGTCTTTTCTTGTCTCATACACTTTGAAGTCTCTTTGAATGTGGGTTGAGGCAGATGCTCTCCATGAAACTGGCGGTCTGTGAGAGCAGCTTGGAGAGGATGCAAGCTGCTGCAACTCTACAGGTGATGATGATGATGATCTTGAGTTGAAATTTTCCGTACAACACAAGTGGTTCATGTGGGGGTGTTGTAGATGGTGATGAGTCGAGGAGGCAGAGGGGCCACACCCCTGTCTTCTTGCTGCCATAGCCACTGTTCTAAGTGCGGAAATTGTGAGGCAGTGTCCATAGTTTAATTGCATAGGTCAGAGAAGATAAGGTTGCGTCAGCCTTCACAGCTTTTCCAATCTGCAATATATTATGTCTCAGAGAATACTATATATATATATATATATATATATATCACTACACCACAAAAATATTCCTATATTTCTGATGTATAGTCTCTCAATTAAAACTTGCATGAGACTTCTTTTCTTAATATCTTTTTGATCTGAATGTTATCTAATCCCTTATTATTGCTCCATCACAACTTACAAAGGCTCTAATTTAAGATCTCTTATCCTCACATATTATAGGAAAAAAGAGAAAAGAACAAAATGATATCAGAGTTCTGACACAAAAGAACTTGAAGTGGGTAATGGTTCTTCCTTTTGATTCAGAACAACATGACACCATCTCTCTCTCTCTCTCTCTCTCTCTCTCTCTCTCTCTCTCTCTCTCTCTCTCTAAGCTTTGTTACGGTGCTTCCAAACAAGAGAGCCACTGTTTTCTTTGCTATCCATGTCCACAATTGACTTGGTTCGTGGTGTGTGATGACTGACTAATGTTCTTTTGTCTCTCTCTCTCTCTCTCTCTCCCCTTCTGTTTTATGTGTGCAGGAAGAACCCAACTCACGCTTTGCACAAGACGAGGTGGGAGGAGGGTGTGGTGCTGCCTTCGTCTCTCCGAATCACTTCTGACCCTTCAATTTTGGCTCCTCTTCCATCGGCTTTACCGTGTCTCCATCTACTACGTACGTTGCATGGCGCATGTACGTGCATGCACGCTTGTACTCCTCCCAACCACATGTTCTACATTATATATACATAAGTGTATATATATATGTACATCATTTCATCCTCATCCTCTTTTGTTTCTCATGTATGCATCATCACCTTGTATCCGGCTTCAGTGTCTTTGATTGCTGTTCTAAAAATTATGTCTTGAATCTTATGAAAATGAGTGTCTTGATTGCTGTTCTAAAAATTAGTCTAATGATTGTGTATCAGACTCGCTTGTTGAGCGTTCGAAAACTCATATTCAACATAATTTTAAAAAAAATTAATAATTCATCGTAAAGTATTGGGGGTTGTATCTGTCTTCACTCACTTGTCAAAAGTTGAGCATTCGAAAACTCATATTCAACATAATTTTAAAAAATTTAATAATTCATCGTAAAGTATTGGGGGCTCGTATCTCGTCTTCACTCACTTGTCAAAAGTTGAACGTTCGAAAACTCATATTCAACATAATTAAAAAAAAAATTAATAATTCATTGTAAAGTATTGGGGGCTCGTATCTCGTCTTCATCACTTATCTATTATAAAAATAAATATATAAATAATAATATCTTTGTGTTGAATTTATTTTTTAAAATAAAGAAAAAAATATGTAACAATGATGATTAAAAACTTTTATTCATCATAATTACAACTATTGTCTATTTGTTTGTAATTTTTTCATGGAATGTAACAATACTTATAAAAATGATGATAGAACCCAAAAAAGAGAGAGAGAGAGAGAGAGAGAGAGAGAGAGGCTTTGACAAATAAAAAAAATATTAATCACAATTACTAACAATTTCTTGGAGCATAGATTTCTCTGTATTTATTGGAGACCAATTCAAGAGTTTGACTTTAATTAGATTGATCTTCTAACTTAAGTGGAACTCTTAAACTAAGTATTCAATTGATCATAAAGTTTAATTTAATTTCCAACACACTCCTCAAAAGAAAAAAAGAATGCAAAAATGTTGATGAATGCATCCAATTGGCAATTAATAGGCACATTTTGTGTCCACCCACTCTGTACCATATTTGAAGAACAATTAAAATCTCTTTTTATTCCCCTTAAAATGACATAACAGCTACTAGTATTTTCAAAAATAAAAATAAATAAATAACTTGAACCCAAGAAAAAATAAGGAAGCATTGAAAATTTTTTTTCCTTTTTTTTTTTTTTTTTTGCCTTGAGAGGAATCTGTTCAAAGAAAGCGAAAAGTGACCAAATAATTTAGTAGATATAATGATAGGGTATTTTATCGAAAAAAAACCTCGACTATTTATTTTTTTTACGTGATAGTGCCTCCCATATTCGTTTTTACCTGAGGGTATTATTTTTTATTTAGACTAAAGTACTTTTAATTTTTTTACTAAAATGACTTGATCATACAAATTATTCAAAATATCAATGATTAATTATCATAAAAATAAAAAAATTTATGATAATAAATTATCAAAATTAGAGATTTTTTGAATAAAATCAATGATCAAATCATTTAGGTAAAAGTATGACGATTTTTTTATCCAAGTAGGAAAAAAGACACCCGAATATCGGGGCATTATATGATAAATGATATTTATTATTCGAGTTTAGGATGGACGGAATCCGTAAATGATATTTAACCCGATTATATGATTAACGGTAATGACACATAACGAAAATTATGGATATTTTACTCATTTGAAATATATCCTCCTCAATTATTTCTTGGATTTATGATGATAATTTGTGGATATAATATGTTTAACGATATAGCAAATGCTGTACAGACTTAGATCGATCAAATAATTGGATTCTACATCACCATAGTCCTCTTGTTGGTACAACTGATGTGATGGATCGATCGAATCTAAGCAAAATATCACTCACCATTCATGATTGGAGCCACCCATATCTTATGAGAATAATGTTTAATATAATTTATCCTCTACTTATCTTTCCACAAACATTTATGATCCAATCACAAGATGTGATTCAATTATTTGAATACATCAGATATGATCTAATTTAAAAGATATGTACTTTTTTCTGTATTAATCATCCAAAGATATGGGTATTTAGATAGGTTAATTGCAAAATAAGATGCAAACCATAGAAAGCTTCACCTCAAATTCAACTTAGAAATAGGAATGCTTCTTTATTTTCTCAACAAAATATTTTTCATTTTCTTCAGGAAAGATTAAATGTATTATTAATCTAATAAGATCATGAGTTTGAATCATATATCTTTCTCTATATCATCCGATATTTATTATATTTGTGTCATATTATGTTTTCGAGTTTCGAATTCACATGTCGAAGTGTAATAAGGTTAATTTCTTGATCAACAGTGTTGGAGAGCTCTCTCTCTCACTCTCTCTCTTGAAGCTTAGGAGGACCAGTCTGGATTTCTTCTTGCTCGGCAAATCTTTTGCATTGAGACTCGCAAACGACCATGAGATGGACATGAAACAAAAGGAGCTGTTGGTGACAGTGAATCATCACAGGTTGCTTGAGATGGCCACTTGAGGTGATGAATGATTGCAGATCCAAAAGTTTTGTCTCTCTCGGTTGGTTCTGGTCCCACCTTCCATTGTTCCTGTGAGTGGGGGGAGGGGGAGGGGAAGAGAGGCCATGGTGGTGAAGCAGATGCAATAATGCAGTGGCTTCTCCTTGAAAGAGGACAAGCACCAAAGCTGAGGTGCATGAACACAGGGAAGGAGTTAGGTTGCCATCCTTGACCGGAGAAGATGGTGTGTGAGCAGGTTAAGAGGCAGCATAATGTGGAGGCATTCTCTCTAGTTTGATACCTTAAGGAGGACAAAGTGTATGCATGTGTGAATCAAGATGGTAGGAAGCATGGAATATGGCCACTTCTTGGCATTTAGTACATGAATGATTTGATGATCCAGCCACAAAGATTTTGATTAGATTTTTGGATTTATGTTCTCTTAATTTGCGAGGGATTCTTTTGTTTGTTTGTGTGTTTAGTGTTTATGCATGCACTGTAGGAATTTTGGTAGCATAAATGAAGAACACATCCACTTGCAGAGGTTTAGTTGAATGAATACTAAGTTGATTTTTAGACATGTTAATCCATCACTAGCTGAGAGGATTCATTTGAATGTGAGATCAATAGTGCTCAGAACCCTGAAAGCTTTCAATAGGTTGATGGCACATCAAATAACTCAAACACCAGACTCACAATGTGATGATAGAAACAAAGGCCACTAGAAAACCAGAGAATGATGAATGAAATATGGAAAGTTTGGGCATAAGAGATTAGTGCAAGTGAGCAGCACAACAAATTCAATAGCCATAATGTCTCAGCAAACTTCAAATAACATAAACCACCAAATATCTCAGCAACCAAACAATAACTTCCATTTGAAACAACAATATAACAAATGACAACTGTTGAATTAGGATGGCATCTCTTACACTCCCTTAATCTCTCTGCTTTTAGCTGGTAGAGATTGTATTGGAAATCATTGGATCTGAAACACCAGTTTAAGTCTCTTCCATGCCAAGAATTCCATACCCAAAGCAAAGCAGATTGCAATTGAAAGCATCAGCAGAACACCAAACTTCAATACTGGAGTGATGAGTTAACTTCATTGAGACTCTGCAGTAAGTACTCTTGGCTTCGCTGATGGATGCTTGATTGCTGACACTCACATTGGGGAATAAGAGGGATGGATCCAAGCATCTTCATTTAGATAAGTTAAACTACATCCATAAAAAAACCTTCAAATGTTTTGAGTACAGAGATCAAATGTTTATTGAGCTGAAACAAGTATTTATCTAGAGATGAAGATTCCATCAGCTGAGCATATTAAGACCCAAGAGTGACCGATAACTCTCTCAGTCAGCAACAGCACCACAAACTATCCCATATAGCTCGATCACCCTGAAATATAACAAATAGATTTTAGCCACAAAAAGAATAAGATGAACTGTGATAATTGTTAAGCAGGTAACACGAATAATCATTCAGTATGAAGTCCTTGACAAGACACTACTATTACATCCAATGTATCACATGAAACAACAGATAGCAGACAACATCAATCATCTCACAGTGGCTACATAATTAGGATGACAGATGACTCAAAATGGATCATCTTAGCTAATCCCTTGAAAGACAAAATATAGCACTCCCGCTGCTAATGTGCTGCTCAGCCACAACGCTGGGGACACATCTCATCCAACTGCACCAGAAGACTAACTAGTTGATGACCTATTAATCCTGACATACATCTCTCTCGAGACAGGGAAAATGATCATTGTGTATAGAAGTAGTACCATTCAAAGGATAACTAACATCTCAAGCATTCATCACGATACAGGACTTCAATTGATTAATATGCTCACTAGTAACCATCAGAAAATTCAATGGCACATCAAATAGAAGTATAGTATGCTGAATTTCCAGCAAGATGACAAATAAAAACTATTATAAATCAAACATACTAACAATTCTGAAAGAAAAATAGATTAAATAAATGCTACGCTCCAATGACTTGTTTTACTTAGAAGAGATTGTCAGAGAAAGAAATGATAAGTTTACACAAGATAAATGGGTGTTGTGACTCCTGTGTCAACTTTGCCCTCAATGCCGGAAGCCAAAATAGATCAATAAATGGCTAAAATCCACATGGCCTATAGTGGTTGACTCTGGCCATTCATCAAATTCATTTTTTAACTTTTCAACAAAGATATTGATCATTTAAAGAAACAAAATTGGACACTAATTCCATAAAAAATAACATTATTGATTTACAAAAACTGGTGCCATGATCAAGAAGAAAGACATCATCATCATGTTCAACAAGTTGAAATATTTTCATGGACCAAACAGCCCCTACATTGACTGATTACCTTTCTAGCATGATCACAAGACAATGAAACACCACAAATATTATCAGCGACACTACCTTTCCCTGCTTCCCTCATCAGCATCACACTCATTATCTTTGGCTGTCCGCCAGGGTCATCCTATATTGACAATGTTGGCAAGATGTAGGGTAGAGAATGGAAGAGAACAAAAAAATAGAAACACAGAGAGAGAGAGAGAGAGAGAGAGAGAGAAGGTGATGGGAAACCATATGGAAGATGTTATGTACCCCACATTATTGCATATTGCTAAAATCCCTCCCATATATACAGACAGGTACAAAGGGTATTATATAATCTGTGAACCCTATCTCTTCTCCCAACTAAGCTAAACAAGTTCAACATTCATATGACATCCCATATTGCAATGAAACCCAATATAACCTACATCAAATCAGTACTCAATTAAAATAAGCTCCAAAATTGATTAATCAACATAATTAAATTAACAAAATTTACACATAACAACAGAACACATGAAATAAGTGATACCCAAGCTGTTCCATTCAAAATTTGAGTGCAGTTGTCCATGTGCCCTGAACACTGGGATGCTTCGTGACATGCCTTGTCCTCAGTTTCACAACCTTCCTTCCTAACGCATTCCTTAGTTTAGTAGCATGCAGTAGTACGTCCTCTGGCATTAAATTTTTAACACAAACCACCCGCTGGTTATGATTCTCTGCATGTAAATGGAATATTATTACACCCCAGAAGAACAATGCTCTAACGCACTTAAACCAAATAAAAAGTGTTTTGATTTTTGGTAGAAACCCATTCCTTAATTCTCTGTAGAACGAGGACATTTGATCACTTAGTATTACATCACATAATTATCAAGACATCATAATAGTCTACATTCTTCTTTAGTCAGAGAGTAATTATCATCCAATCTGTGAAACACAGAAACTATCACTAAAATAACTTGACATTCAGCTCAAGTAGATAATATGACTTTAAAGTTCATGCTCAATGAGGATGCAGATCATACTAAAAAAAGGAGAAAAAATCTTACTGTAAAAGCCCTTCAGATGAGGATGCTGACCACGAACAAGCTCCATTACTACCTCTAGCTGAGGGTTCTTTTCCTTGAAAGCTGGCAAATGAGTTTCCATAAAGCCCCTGTCATTCAAGCACCTGATTAATAAAGAAGACAACCATGGAGCATAGACCTTCTTAACCAATTTCGAAATGAAAGAACTAGGCCACAACCACTAACAAGTGAGTCCAAGGTCAACCATACAATGTCCAAGAAGATGATGAAATACTCCCAGTACCTTCAACCCATATCCAAGCAGTTTCTTGAAATGCATGTCCAAAGAGCCAAAGACAAGTAAAAATGGCAGAATGAAATTTGGATATCTTTTACAGTAACCAATGGTTTACTTAAACATCACTACACTGAATAAAATTCATGGTCATCTCACTTTCAAAATGTGCATGAACGACCGTGTATTACCATAGCATCTTTTTTCAAATGGTTTTTTTAATCTAACTTCTTCTCCAACAAGAAGTTCAATATAAAGTGATGAAACAGCCTCCAAGGCTAAGAGCTAAAGAGTATCTACCAAAATAAATTTATTTATCGTACACAGTAGAGCATTTAAAATCAAGCATAGCCTTAATCACTTACAATCGCCTTCATTTGTTAGGGCTAAAGTGCATGAATATCCCAATCTAACACTGATTCAAAAACTAATCTTGAATATTACATAAATACAAAATAAATGCTGTACAAATAACCAATAATAACTAGGAGATATTGGTCCAACTCTTTCCCTGTTTGTGTAACCCCTACTTGAAATAGTATGGGGGACACCAGCCCTTGAAGTGGGACAGGATGACTGTAGTCCTGTTCTGATGCCTTGCCATATTCAAATTCCACTGTGGCCATACATTACGATTAATCTTGATCATTAGTATAAAGATCCAAAGAAAGAAGTTACCAATGTGTAACAGATTTAGTTAGATAGTAAGGAATCTAAATGACTACTTCACCATCTAAATGTGTCAAGAAAACACATGTTTAAAAGAAACATGTCTTCCATTTGGAAGCAAAGCACATTGAATTAACCATCAACACTCCTTTTGTTATTCATATCCAAGGTTTTAAATTTCAAATTGTACCACCCGTACCGGGCGATATCAACTGGCAAACAGAACGAGGAGCAAGACGACGAGGAAGATGAGGCTATGGCGCTCGTTGGATGGAGAAGGCATGACGGAGAAGAGAGTTGGACATGGCGGGACACGAAGAAGCACTCCGTCGAGTGGAATGTGGTAGGGGGTAGGTCTTCGCTTCGTCGAGCGGAACACTATAAGGGGTAGGTCCTTGCTCCATCGGACGAAACGAGATAGGGAGCAGAGGGATCGTGGCTGCTATGGTCGGGGAGGTTGCGATCGACGACGAAGGAAGGGATCTTGGCCTAGGTAGGACTGCTGCTTCCTATTCTCGCTCTCACTATCATCTTGGTCTTCTTCCTCATAGTCGCTGAGGGCGGCAACAGTGGGGGAGCAAGAGATGAGCTCACCCTAGGCTGGATCCCCACCAGATCCGACTGTCACGGGAGCATTGCAAAGTGCCTCACGGCGGATGAGTTCAAGTTGGGGATGGAGGCGACGCGTCGCATCCTCGCCCGCTCTGCCATGGCACCATCACCCCCTTTTCGTCTCTCAAGATAGAAAGGGGATATTTTTATATATGTAAACATATGTTTATATTTTTTATAAACATATGTATATAAATATATTTTTATATACATATGTATATAAAAATACATATACCTCTACTTTACAATATAAATAATAAATGTAGTTCACAGACCTCAAGTATGCCACATCACACAGCTATGCATGCTAAACATAAATGTGTACGTCTATCATTGATAGAAAGGAAAACATACACAAACGAATACATACAAAATCATACAAGAAAAAAAAAATCCATTTGCAAATGCGTATGATGCATATCAGCATAACTTAATGTAAACAAGAATCAATCATGTGAGACAGCCTAGTTCACCTAAAACTGCTATGTCAAAGCTGAACTAAAGCTGGCAGGACAACTGAAAATACCAATACTAATTGATTACACAGCCCAAGCATTCATTTCGTGCTATATAATGATGCAGGCTTATTACCTCCAGCTTTATATCAGCTTTCAAAGGTTTAAAAACAGTCCAATTAGGTATTTATCAGATGGATATTCTATCGAGGACACTACCTGATCCCCCTGCTACTTCCTCCCCAATCACAATAGCTCACTATCAGCTTCTGTAGCTGCCAAACTCCTCGCAATGCCATAGTTTTAAAGAGAGATCACAAGCTGCTAACTGCAGAGAAAAAGAATTTTACATCTGACAATGAACACTACACACAGAGAACACTTTCACACATGTACAACAAAATAAAAGCAATACACAAACACAATACTAAAAAAACATAAAGCAAAACCATTGTACATCGGATAGTAGGGGAATTGGGTTTGCTCAGCTTAATATGCATATCCATTTAGGATATAACTATTATGCATGTATATTGAAAAAAAAAATGTAATAAGAAGTAATTCAAGCTTAACTGTTCTTTAGCCAGTTTGAAAATAACCTTTCTGTCATTAACTTAATTATATTTGTCTAATCATGAAATTATATGCTTAGATCCAGACAAAAGTACCTCAAATGACACCTCTTGTTCGACTCTTCATTTTTGTGTAACATTAATTCCAAAACCCAAACAATCATGATATCATATTTAAAGAACTCTTAACAGTTGGATAGCAAAATAATGGTTGACTGTTCCCTTCCCATTTTATATTTTGTGCTGACATTTAGTTTATTATGATTTATCAATACTAGCTGATGTAGGATTTGGGACATGTGACCTAGTGTCTTGTAATTCTTGTCTAGTACCTCTAGTTTATGAATTTCCATAGTGTTTTCTTCTTCCTTTCTATATGGCAATCCACGAATCTATACATTTGCTAGACGTAATTGCCAAACCCTGCTAGTCTATTTGCATAGGTGTATAATTGTTTGGTATCATAGAACAAGATTACAAACACCAAATTGACAAACTTCATTACCAGATGATTGGTCACATGATCAGTAGTGGGACTAGTGGGTCAAATGGTTAGACCACGAATTTAATCGTATTACTTCTAAATAATGTGTAATACTTGAAAAATATGTCAATATCAAAATAAAATTTAAGCACATAAAAGAATAGAAGATCACCACTATTTATTAAGCGATTCTAGATCAATTAGTTAGTTGACAATGCAAATAACAACAAACTAAAAAAAATTGTCAATCAGCTAGAAGAGAAATTTTAATTTTCATCAGTGCAAGCGTAACACAAAAAACCAATAAAAGATTAGACTTGATATTTTCATCGTCACATGCGAAAGATATATGCAAGTTATTTACCTGATGAACTCTATGACCAAAGGCATACCCAACTGTGCAATTGATTCTAACAGAACTTTTAGAAAGCCTTAATACTCAATCTAGCAAGCAGACATTTAATCAAGAAAAAGTAAGCATGCACCAATCACGAACAAAAGTAACAAACTATCAGAAGAAAAATCCCAAATTAAAGGGCAGACAAGGTCACTATGTCATATGTAATTCCATCTTCGATAAAGAACGAAAACGGATCAAGCACTATACCAATTTCAATCTCAAAAAACAACAAACAACAACACCTAAGATAAATTAGGAAAGAAAACAGACAGAAAATTCGCCAATTTATTCCCTCAATGTCCCATTCCAAACATCCGCATGCAAGTAAAACGACAAATGAAGCATACTATGAACGCAAAGCAAGGAATAAAGCAGGGAGGCAATATCAAATCGAACCATGACTAAGATACAAACTTGGGAAGAGAAAGATGATGAGAAGGAGATAGTACTGACTTCTCCGTCGACACACGAAGGCGAAGCGTCGGCGAGGCGAGGGAAGGGGAGCCGCCGCAATTCCAATGTTGGGAACGGACTGCGCTAGAAAGGTTAGGGATTGGGTAATGTATTATTTACCATTGTGCCCTTAATGGTGTGCATGTGTGATAATTGACGCCAAAAGTATTACCCGAATTCATTAGCTGACATAAATATCGTCTCCTCTGTCCGAATCGCGCCCCTTCATATTCCGACGGCAGCTTCCTCGGACGATCCACCGGCGAAGGGGAAGTCCGTCATCGTCCACCTCTGCGGACTCCGGGTTCGATTCTCTCTCTCCTCCATTTTGTTCTCTCAGAAACCTTCGGGGTATGTTTTTCTTTCTCGTTGAATCCCTCGTCGTTAGCCCGGACGGCCACCGCCTTCACACGGCAATTTGTGCTTCGCTCCGTCGGGGTCGGTGCCTCATCTCCTATTCGCCTTTGCTGCCTTAAGCGACCCTCCTCTCCGTGCCCTTCCCCTCACACTGTCCTCCGCACACAAGGCGATCCGGAGGGCTTTGCTTCCACCTGGAGAAGCGACTGATTCCACCCTAGCCCCACCTTCCTGAGTGTTGCCTGTTTCCAGCAAACCATCCTCTTGGCATGTATGCTCGGAACTTTCGTCTCTTCCTCGTCTCTGACCTTGATACCAAACCCTAATTTTTCATCTTACATTTCCATTTGCCGTGTTTGTTCATTTTGTGGACTTCTGTTGATTGGGAATATTTGCTCTTGATGTACAAGCTCTAGAGCAGTTGGAGATTGGTTTACGCTCTCAGTGCTTTATTGTTGACTTCTCACTTTATATTTTGAGAAAAAAAAAAGGTTAATGAATGTTAAATAGAATTTAAAGTAAAAAAAGGAAAATTCGTATGAGTAATCAAGAATTTAGTTACTTTTGGAAGAATTTATAGTGCACCAGTTACTTGATATATATATATATATATATTCTGATGATCCTTGTAGATTCTTATATTCTTGCCGTATCATGTGGTGTTGAGAAAAACTTATATATCTTCTATGAAGTCGTCCTAGCTGCTCGATTTCTATAGAGCAATGCATGCATATTTCATACACGCCAGTTGAAGTTGTTAGTCATAGTTCATTTTGTAGTCATGCTTAGTTGTTCTGCATATTAAAATAGCTTAGCATTACTCCATCTTATTTATGCAGTCATATACAGGATCATTTATTTGGGAATCAACTTGAAGCTGGTAGATGGGTTCTGATGATTTCATTGATCTTGAATCATCTTGTCCTAATAACAATAATGGTGATTACGATGATGACGACAAAGGATCAGAATCCAGGGATGCCAAAACTGATTCTCCTTCCAGATTATTTTCCATGAAGGAAGATCCTCTTGGTACAGAGAATGTTGAGGTTTTCACAGGGAATGGTGAAGGGGGAGATGACCCTAATGTGCTGGATATGGACCTTGAAGATGACCTGGTCCAACGACAAACCATTCTGTATGAGAGAGTCGAGATTGTTGGATCCCCAATAGTGGAACAGTTGAAAGGAGAGGGGGAACAACATAAGGAGACAGTCAGAGCTGCTACACTAAATAATAGCACTTCCAACAATAATGTGATTGATGAAAGCCGTATCCTGTCCATGATTATGTTAATTCCCCTTTAATCAAGCATTTATTATGAGTTAACTGGCTGAATTGACATCATTATGAGGAATAAGGTGCATTTAGCTTTCTTTTGAAACAGGTTGAATTGTGGCTTTGGTAGAAAAAAATGTTCTGTATCTAAGTTCTCTTTCTTAGTTCCTGACTCTTATATGAGTATTTTCATGTTCTTCCCTAATATGGAATGGTAGCTATAGCAGGAGTAAAAAGAGCTCGTATGACCTATATCGAGAAGCAACCATCTGTGCGTGTTATCTACAACTCATTGGCAAGGTTGGCATAGAAAGAAACTGCTCTTATTTAATATATGCCCATCTCTTTGAAGCATGCCTAAGAAGCAGATTTGTGTATTTGGTTCTTTTCATTTGTTGCCTGCAAGTTGTGCATTTTCCTTGAGTTTGCTGGAAGCATACATTTGGAGAGCTTATCTTGCATCTTCTTTTCTGTTGCCCTATAGAGAAAGCAAAAGGAAGCTTATGGGGCTTATGCAGCAGTGGTCTCAGTGGCAAGCAAAGCACCAGCTTTCTTCAAGTGTAATGCGCCTTCTGTTTTCTTCTGATTGTATGATGAGCTATGTACATCTTAGTGTTTATTTGATGAACAAATTTCTCTCTAAAAGACTAAAAGTTGATAGAATGTTGCATGAGCACAGACATGATGTATGGACACTGACATATTTATTTATGATTCATCAAGGAATAAGGAAACATGATAGGGCCACACACAGGGAAACTATTGAAGCATAATCAATTTACTGGAGAGTGTTGACAGATATTATTCAGTTAGCTTTTCTATCTTCTGCATATTTGTTTGTTTGATAGTTTCAAATGATTGGAAAAATAATGTTGGTCCTGAAGTTGACCATTATATGGAATTTTGTTGGTCACTTGGGTTCTTGGAACATAGTTCTTACAAACAACACTATTTCTGTTAATATCTAAGTTGTCTTATGGGGAAGTTAGTGCTTTTTCAAGGATATCAGACTATTCAACCGGTTCAGAATTCATGAGCACCAAACTATCAGCTAAAAAAAGTACCTGCTGTTTACTGAAACATTTGTTAGTGTTTGGTTACCAATAATGTTAAATTTGTTAATTTTTTTAAAACAGAAGTTGAATGCAGTTAAGTTTATACTTGAAAAAACCCAAGTTTCTGAGAAACAAATTTGCTCCTGAGTGGGAAGTAGCTTAGACTGAGGATCCAACTGCTCTTTCCTGATCTAGTTTAATGGGTTTTTTGTTGATATCTAACAGGAATCTGAAGATGTGCCCTTAGAGGATGGTGAAGAGACATATTTTCCAGCTTTACACGTTGACTCTAAGAAGTCCAGTGTTGTGGTATGTATGTGGACTAAGAATTAATTAAATCTATCTGATTATTATTTTGGTCTAGCATAATAATCTTTGATAGTTGCAGAGTGAGGATTTTAAGTTAAGACTTCGCATGTATTTTAGATGTGTTTATCACATTTATCTAATTTTCTTTGGAACTTTTATATTAGATGTCTGTGGGACTTTTATATTAGATGGCATGAACTGAAAAGGCCAGATCAGTCAATGTATAAATAAAAAGGAAAAGAATATAACCTTGTGATTATTAGAGCTGTTCATATATAGATTGAATACCTTGTTTATTGTTGTTCCCTCATTCATGTCGGTATGGTCTTGGTTCATCCTCAAAATTGCTAGGTGTATATATGTTAATGGTCACTGATCATATTAGGCTTCCTTTTTTATCTGCAATGTGAATTACCAACTATCTGTTGGATTAAGTTGAGTCTTTTCTTTCCTCTGCATGTAAGACATTCTGGGTCGACAAGCAGGCAAGACAAGATGTTGATAAGGACAAAGTCAAGTTTGAGGCTGATGTCCCTCTTTATGACCGGGAGTATACTCTAGGATCAACTTCAGTTGATGGTTCAAGTGGCCCTGAAGGGTAAATTTTTTTCCACTTTTTTATGTAATTGCATTATAAAACTCCTGTAGTTTGTTCTCCTTTGTTTATGGATATGGAAAAGCCAATTCTCTTTTAATTCATACGGGTGTCTACTTTCAATTCAAGTCAAGTCTTGATGCTCAGTTTTCTTATGACATTGCAAGAAATGTACAAAATACTTCTTGCATATTCAGATTCTAAAGCAGGATAAATGTAAATGTGCTGTCATTTTGGCTTAGGTAATATTTAAAGCCCACTGATGTCATTAATGTCTTTGTGTACCTTCATGGCTTTGACCTATGGCGCAAATGTTATTGGGGTTGGTGTCATTGGCATTTTTAACTGATGTAGCTGATTTTGTTGTTTATGTGTCTCCAGCCAAGTCACTTCTTTGAGTCACCATTTGTATGTTATAATAAAAATATAACATGTCATTGCTGATCTTTTCTTTGCTCATTGTTGATAAATATATTTTTTAGTGTCCTGCCAATTATCTTGCTCATCTACCATTATACCTCTTTTTTCATATTTGAAGTAGGCTTCTCTCTACAGCATGACATTAGGTGTTCTTCCATAATGTTAATCTCTTCCTTTTTGGATTTTTTTTTGCCATGACATATTGAGGAACTGATAAACTTCTCAATTTGCTTATTCATAGCATAGAAGCTCTTGGAGCTTCCCGGTGTTTCAATTGTGGCTCATATAGCCACTCGTTAAGGGATTGCCCGAAGCCCCGTGATAATATTGCAATCAGCAATGCTCGCAAGATGCACACTTCAAAACGAAATCCAACTGCCGGTAACCATGCACAAGTTCGGTATTATCTGAAAGCTCCAGGCAAATTTGACAATTTGCAGGCAGGAGTTCTTGGGGCTGAAACAAGAGAATGCTTGGGTATTGGGGTAATCAGCTGTACTTGGAGCACTAGTTCTTTCCTTTCTGAGTTTTCTAGATCTTACAATAAGTTTGTTGAACCATGACAATAACAATGTTTAGTTCTGATAAATCTCTTGTTTATATCACGTAACTACTATTATATAGGCATGCTATTATTACATTTGGCTGCTTATGCAAGCATTCTATACTTTCCATTATTCAATAGTTACTATTGGTCATTCTCCTATGTGATTTTTCTTGGATAGACTTCTTTGGAAATGAATTGCATATTAACCTTCTTAAGTGATATGCCCTTCCAATTGTCTGCTCTTTTGGTCTTGTATCTGTGATAAATTAGAAACTAGAGATATATAGTGCAAGTGCTTTAGAGATACAAGTAGATGTCTTCTGCCTTAAATCATTATAATTACTTTCAGTGGTTAAAATCAAGGTTCGTAATACCGTACCGTACCAGAGTTTCGACCTGGGCTCGGTACCAGTACGGTAAGGTATACCGCTCGGTACACCCAGGTGTACCGAGCGGTATATTTAGGCGTGCCGAGTACTGTAGCATATGGTACTGCTACAGTATCGGAACGGTAACATATGGTCCGCGTACCGGAAGTCTGACGGACCGGTACGTACCGCCCGTACCGGGCGGTACGGATCGGTACTGCAAACCATGGTTAAAATATGTTTGGATATATCTGAATGGGTAGTAATTTGTTTTGACAACATTATCTGGGATTTGCATTTTGTAGAACTCTGTGAGATTATTAAATAAAGAAAGTTAACTGCTTTTCTCAGTTTAAACTATCAGAACATCAGCTATATTCATTTTCTTCTTATTTGGCTAGGTGGACTTAATTGATGAATTCTGTGGTGATTGATGATTTATTTAATTTCAAATTTTCAGTTCCCACATTCTTATTTACTCTAAAATCTGACATATCCATTTTATGTTGATTGCCTGTTCTTATCTGTTTTTATTTAAATGTATGTTCTTCTCGTGATGGATAATTCATGTCTAAGATTTGAGCAAATATGAAGATGTGAAATTGTGTTCAAGTATGCCCATATGTCTATTTGTAGAAATTAAATGTGATCAGTTATGGAATTATGCATGAGAATATTGGATTTTATCCCCTAGATTCAGATATAGTATACCAAATCATGGTACTAATTGATGGCTTCAAGCCTTCAGAGTCACATGACATATGTCCAACAAAACCCAAATAAACATGGTTAACTCTTTCCTTTAACAACTATTTCTAGGCATTGCTACTTGTTAGCCAGCATTGATGGGGCATGCCCATAATGCACATGTGGAGTATCTGGGTTCCTTTGTCACAGGGCCATCATATGTTAAAAGCTTTCATTTTTTTATAATGAAAAAGTAAAGCATACGCTTAAGCTTTTGATGATTCTTATTAATGTGAGGTAAAGTACAGCACATGTTTAAATTTTTAAGGATTGTTTTATTGCATCAAACTTATTGTCTAGTTTTGTTTTTTTATAAACAATGAACTTAATTTTTTTTTTGTTTTATGATGAATTGATGAATATTTTTCGATGTTCCAATTACTTACACTTGATTAAGTTTTTTAATACTGTGGTCATAAGTTTTGCTTTTCCTATATTACTGAAGGATCTTGGAACTAAGTTTTGCTAGTGATTTTGACTTACAATATGTGTCAATTTTAAACAGGAGTATGATCCACCGCCTTGGTTTCACCGGATGCGTGAAATGGGATACCCTCCTGGATATCTAGGTAAGTTTACTTCTATGTATGCTGAATTGACAACTCGACAAGTTGCTTTTGACTGACAACTTTTTGTAGATGTCCTTGTGATTCGTAATGAACAACCTTGAAATTGTAATACTTTTTTCCTATAAACAACAAGAATAAGGAAATGAAGCTAACTAAGGCTTGTCAGGATCACACATTTTCAGTCAGATGTACTTGGTAATTAAAAGAGTGGAACTTGATTGTTTTTGAATGATAAATTAGTAAAATAAAGAGAAGTTAGAGAAAGATGGAATTATAGAAGAACAAATAGAAAGGGTAACCGTGTGTGTGAGAGCAGAAGGAAGGATGCTTATTTGGTGAAGGACATGTGTGAACAGAGAATGCGTGAACCCTCATTTTAATCATAGGACAGCTGCAAGGAGAATGCAAAGGACAACAGCTGGAATGATTGGCCATGCCACCTTCCTTTTTAATTAAAATAATTAGGCATATTTAACCTGGTGAGGAAGGTAAAAGGAGATGAGAAGAGAAATGGAGGAATTAGAGGAATAGATAAATATGTGAAGGAATAGCTTAATGGAATCTATCGTTGAGTCTCTAAGGGCAGGATATGTGATGATCGGTAACCATTTACTTGCATGTCACCTAAATATTTACTTAAACTAGCTATAGTACTTATTCTGTGCAGGCCTTACTACCATCTTTAGTTTGAAAAATCGAGGCATGCCCTGGATATGGCCTGGAATTTGGCTGTCTGTCTTCTTTTTTCGAGCTAAAATACTGACAAAAGAAAAGGTATTTGGAATTGTAAGATTAGGAATTCTAAATATGTGTTATGCATGCCAGTGGAACTCAGTTGTTTTGCTGCTGAACTTGTCAAGTGTTAATGCACCAGTCGAGTATTGTTATAAAGTTCTCATCCAGCATGTAAATTTATATTCTGCTTTGAATAGTTTTCGTCATGATTCAAGACACTGATGTCTAAATTTTCTTCTTGGTTATGGCTTTGGGTTTGTTATAGATAAATTTGATGACCAGTCATTTTGGAAATCGTTTGTTTGATTAAGGTATATATGAGAAATTTCAAGTTGTTAGGTCAACTTTTCAGTTGAATATCCTTTAGTGATCAAGACAGTATGGCCTTTCATGAATGAATTCTTGTGCCCAAAATTTTAGATTCATGACTTGAACTCTAATTTCATCCTGGTGACAGAAGGGATTAGGTAAGAAGACCAAATTGATGAGCTTGTTTTCTTTTTTCCTTGAATTCTTTAGCATAACAACAGATGGTGTTGTTACGTTCTTTTGATTCACGAGATGACCAACTCAGTATCAGAAGCACCAATATAAGAGGTTATTCCAGAGATAGTTGTATGACTTCATTCTATCATAGTAAATAAAATTAAGTTGGAAATTCTCATTCAACTTAAGCTTCTTTGTGCTATGGCTTGGCATTCATCTTTCAGATCTTGTTATATGTGCCAACAGCTTTTATTAGATTAAGCTTGATATGAACTTTCATTCTTTTGCAGATGTTGACGATGAAGACCAGCCTTCTGGAATCACCATATATGCTGATGAAGAGACAAAGGAAGAGTATGAGGATGGAGAACTTCCAGAGAGGAGTGAGCCTGAACCACCACAGAGAAAGATGACTGTGAAGTTCCCCGGGATAAATGCACCTCTCCTTGAAAATGCTGATCACCATCGTTGGGCTGCTCCGTCCACTGGATCAGGTTCCAACCCAGTCAGAAACCGGGTCCATCATAGGTTGGACCATTCCTCGGACCACCACGGATGGAACTTACAAGAACAGAGGTGGCCATCGGACCTGAGAGTCAATGGTGCGCCTGATACAGAGCATGTGTTCTCTTCCTCATATCCAGGTTACTCACCAAGGTACAGCCCCTACAACTACAATCCAATACCAAGGAGCCCAGACTTGGGAAGGTCCCTATCTGATAGAGGGTGGAGGAGCCCCTTGCACTATGAAACTTCCCCTGCTCACAGTCCTCACAGTCCACATCCCTACCCTTCTGCTACACATTCCCCCAAGGACCACCACTGGAGCCATGATCATTGGAGTAACAAAAGCTCATACGGTCGGATCCCAGACTCGGCCTCGCAAAAAGCACAAGACAGGCACGACCACCGTGGTAGCCACCACCGGAGGTGAAAATTGCTTCATGACCCCTGTATTATTTCCATCGTCAGAATGATTGTTCAGCCGTCAGCATCTTCATCAACTTATCTGCAAGTCGGGCCAAGTGATTGAAGAAGCTGTGACTTAGTTGGCCACATTTAATCCCGTTAATACTCATAATTCTGCTTTGATAAGCCACCCCTGCTTTCTTCCAGTATTTAGCAGTTTATTACTGGCAGTCTTTTGCAGGTCTGTTCATGTGAATGTTTGATCAGCTTATTAGTGTGATGTGACCATGATTGATCACTGTAAGTGTTCCTCGCGAGCATTTCTCACTTCATGGCATTGATACTTCTTCCTCCTTTTGTTCATTCATGTTGTGTACTAGGTGCTTATTTAGCTTGCTTGGGTAGAAATAAAATATTGGGTTTGTGATGCATGCTTGTGACCTTACCAATGATTGATACCATTAAAACCGTCCATCCAATTTCGTCTTTCGATCTCAACCGTCCGCCTGATTCGGTCAGATCTGCATAAGCGGACGGATGGAATTGAAAAGAAAAGTATGATGGACGGTTAACGGAGACCCTTTATATTAAGATGCCTATGCAGGTACCCCTGCGTGGAATATGTACCAGGAGATGCTGGCCACGATGTATCCAGGACACGCGTCGCCATCGTGGCTCTCCGTACCCTAATCGGACGGACCAGCGCAGCAAACAGGTCCCAGCCAAAACTTTCCCAATCCCTCCTTACCCAACACGCCAAAGCCATTTGGGCAACTTCTGCTTTCCTACTGCTGCCACTACTACGAGTCTAAATTGCTTCTTTGGACTTCCATCGTTCTCCCAACCGACGCTGCTGTTCGCCTCTTCCTCCACCACCTCGGTGAGTTCTCCTCCTCCTCCCCCTCCCCCTCTTCTTCTTCCTGATCGCTTCATGTTCGTATGGGGTGAGCCGGTGAGGGTTGTCGGTGCTCCTCGTATGCGTTCTTCGTTTATTTTGTGCTAACCTACTGTCTGGTGTTCGAGTCTTGGTCGATCGTTCGATCGTTGATATTTTCTTCGTCTTCAGAGTTCGTGTTTGTTTTCTTGATGTTTCTGTTGTCCTCTACTCTAGAATGCGTTCGTTCCCTACGGATCATGATGTTGTGCTTGCCTAAAATTTCTGATCGTCCCCGCTTCGCGCAACTAAGCCCTGTCCTGGTCGGACTGCCTGAGGATAAGCTCACTCTGTCTTTTCCTCTTCGATCATCTTGTTGTCGCTATATAGAGAGAGATTTAGTTAATGTTATGACTTGCGTACTTATTTTGGCATGATCTACGTCCGTCTGCTTACATTACTGTCACGGTAAATGCATCTCAGCGTGTTTTACGCGGCCATGCATGATTGGAAGACGTGATCTGGTGATCATCTGGGAGAACATGCTATTATCGCAAGATTAAGAGAATTTTTTTGAGAGGAAATTGTTGTGGATACATGTTTTGATAGCCTGTGACTTCACTTTGCTGCTCGATGATTCAAAGATGTTAAGATTAAGCAAGTTTTGAAGAGCATGCAGTTCAGATCGGAAAGAGATTGAGGAGAAAATATGGATAAGGGATGAGGTAAAGATTGGAACCGACTTCCTGATGCAATCTCAAACTCTTGGATCTGAACACAAGAAACCAAAGAGCGTGCTAAATCTCTAGATTGGCAGAGACCCCAGTCGTAGTTGCTGACTTTGGATATGTTATTGGTGTCTATTTACAAGTTTAAACATTAGAGTTACCTTTTTCTCTGTCATTAATTGCAGTATTTGAAGACACAGAAAAGGACAAAAATGCCTTTATATGTCATATTAACGCTAGTGTCATTAAAGTGCCAGATTGTTGTTTGGGACTAATGTTGGTGAAAGTGTCTGTGCAGTTAAATGAACTTTGTCTTTTCCTTTTCTCTCATTGTCATTCCTGATAATAATCGTATAACATTTGATATTGTTCGAGACACTTTGTGGTTAATCTTATCCTTTTCTCCAATTAACAACTCTTTTTTTGAAATCTGTGGCATCCGATTGCAAGTATAGCAAATCTTCCTTGCCATAGTATTTTCTATTTTGAATAGATTTTTTTTAATCTTTTATTATCCAATGTTACTTGTGAAGATATGCAGTTGAATAGATTTTTTTATTTTTCAATAACAACTTTCTTGTTTGTTTCTGAGCTGTGATGTCAGACATGGCTGCAGAAGCTGATGGGAGAGGCACCACAACTTTCCAGCATATTGCCCTCAATGAGCGCATACTTTCTTCTATGATGCGGAAGTCTGTTGCTGCTCACCCTTGGCATGATTTAGAAATAGGTCTGAACTACTACTTGTTATATTTTATTTACATTTTCATCTTACGCAAGTCAACTTATTATGTTTCAAAAATATTCATGATTTTGTAAATATTTGGTTTCACATCGTGGGCTTGGCACTTAGCCATCTTCATGTATATTCTTTTTGATATAGTTTGCATTTCTGAATTTTCTTGTAGAAGTTAAAACTTTTTAGTTTTTTCAGTTCATTCTAATTAAATATTTGTCTGGTTTATCTGACTGAATCATGCAGGTCCTGGAGCTCCTGCTGTTTTTAACTGTGTAAGTACATAAGGGAATGAAGAATAGTACAACCATGAATCGAATGATATACATGTATTATGCTAATGGTTGTGGTATGGCTTCATTAGGCTTATCACACTTGTTTTTTTTTTCCTTTTTCACTGTTTAGTAGTATGTTAATGCTTTGTTGAGTTTTAGTATAATATAAGTTTGTGTTTTTTCATTTAGCTTTTTTTCTTTATGCTCCACTTAGTTTTCTGTATCCTGTCTGAAAAATGCTGAGGATAGGCTAGTTCAATAGTGCGTAATTGCATGACCGTCTTGCTTTAGGATTTTTTTACATATTGTTTGGGAGAGTAATTTCTGAACCATCTTGATTCATAAGGAACTCCAGAGTTCTGGTATAGATGTAACAAATATTGGTGTGGTGACGCATTCAACTGGCTGATTTTTTTTTCTTCTTTTGTTATCGCATGATATCATGTAAATGTTGCTTTCTCGTAGGGGTCAATTACCATATTTAGCTTAGTGGAGGTTTCACACCTTGATTTTGCAGTTCATAATACTTATTTAAATGAGTTGGATGATCAAATATCATTACAAAGCTCCAGAACATGGGAAGTGTTTAGTTTGACTTGAAACATACATGCCACTACCAATTCAGACCTTTGTTTCTGACTTAGGTATCCAGGGAAGCATTAAAAGAAATGCTCAAATTGAGCTAACCGAATTATACTTTCTACTTTTTTCTGGTCTATTGCTTTTGTTATGAGCAATTTTAATAATCAAGATATGCATATTTGTGCTATTGTTAACTTTATGCTATCGTGGACTCATGGTCGTGTTAATTTACATATATATTATCATGATCTGTATAGTTTCGATGAAACATCAAATAGGCTGGTGCCCTTTGTCAACTTGGTTGCAGCCCAATAGTTATTCAATCTTCAGTTCTGAAGATTGCATATGGGTTTTGGATATCAGTTATTTTCAATCATCTTGCTTCACATGATAATGGCATATTGTTTCTACCTTAAAATACAAAATCTTCAAGAAGATAAGACATTCATCAACCAAGTAAATTCCAGTGTTTTGTTTATCCTAGCCCTAGGTGAACAAAATCATGGACAACTCTCTAGAAATTCATCAATATGGTCATACCTTTAGCAGTATTTGTGATATCGACACTGTTCTGTGACTTTTGTTTTGATATAATTATTTATTATATTTCTTAATTGCTCCAGGTGGTTGAAATTGCAAGAGGAAGTAAGGTCAAGTATGAACTAGACAAGGCAAGTGGGCTTATCAAGGTATGTATTGTTGCTGACTTGTATTTCGCAGCCTTATATGACCTTAAGTCTATTAGCAGTCACTTTGTATTTCCTGTAGTCTTTTATAAGACATCCTTTGGTTTAGCTTGTGTTATATTTACTCAAACTGACTTTAGTATTACAAAGATAAGCATATGGCATGTGAAAAGATACATATAGCCAATCCCAAATAGTTCAAGTGGTTGTTGTTGTAATTGGGTGATTGCCAAGTGATGCGCATTATTTACACTAAAGAATGGCCTCCGAAGAAAAAGAAAGGCAGGGATGATGTTACTTCAGGAAATAGAACCTCGGCAACAGAAGCATAGCCAGTGGGGATGATAGTGAAGAGTCTACGAATACTTGTGACCCCAGGAAGAAAAATTTAAGTGTAGTCTCAACTTTAAGATTATAGTCAAAATCCAAGGCATAGGGTCTAAAAGTGGACTAAGAACTACTTGATTGTGAAAGATATTATGAAGGTTTACCGAATAAGGAGCATGGCTCATGTTACAAGATTAGAATCATATGTCAAAGCAGTTGCCCATAGTGTTTTATTCCCTAGTTCATTTGAGAAGATGTTGTGCTCAGATGCTTTTATACTAGTCATGCATAATGCTGAAGATTAGGAGTAACTGAGCACAGGATGCTCTCAAGAAAATGACTAGTTATATATGCTATTGCTATGAATTTAAAGAAGTATTGGAGACCGATAATATAAGGGCATATTTGAGTTACGATGATATCTATCAGGTTGATCGGGTTCTCTACTCTTCAGTGGTTTATCCACACAACTATGGTTTCATCCCTCGAACCCTCTGTGAGGATGGTGATCCCATGGATGTACTGGTACTGATGCAGGTATGTCCTATTTAGGATGCCAAATATTGTTTTCAACAATTTGAAGCTCTTCTGCAAATTTGAGCACCTAAGGTGATTGATTATATCCATTTATTTACAGGAGCAGGTGGTGCCTGGTTGTTTTCTGCGTGCTCGTGCTATTGGGTTGATGCCAATGATTGATCAGGTTAAGAACAGTTTCTTCCTCATTAACTACTTAGATATTACAATTGGGTCTATGTTTCTCTCATAGACAGTTTGTTGAGACATGGGTACATGTCTCGATCACATGCATGATTAAAAACAATATGTAGTAAAGTGGAGATGGAATTCTCGGTATTCATACATGGTCTTTCTTCTCCTCTTTACTGGTCTTATTTGTGCTGGCAAAATACCAATACCAACATAGTGTCCTAGGAAAATTTCAACTTCCAATACGGGCTTATGCCTCATAAAATGAAGCAAAGAGAAGATAATTGCAAACAAGAAGTACAAATGCAGCCTCAACGCAATCAAGAACGATCTCTAATCTTTTCTGTGCTTGATATTTCCTCAGGGGGAGAAGGATGACAAGATAATAGCCGTTTGTGCTGATGACCCTGAGTTTCGCCATTACAAGGACATCAATGATCTGCCACCTCATCGTCTTGCAGAAATCCGCCGCTTCTTTGAAGACTGTATCCTCTCATTCAGCATTGTTTATTCCAAAAACTTTCCTCCAATCCATTCATTGACACTAGAATATGGTTGAGAAATGGTATTTATCAGTGAGTTCTCAAAGCCACTTAACTCCTTCGGCAATAGACAAGAAGAACGAGAACAAGGAGGTTGCAGTAAATGACTTCCTGCCAGCTGAAGATGCCATCAAAGCAATTGAATACTCAATGTAAGTATGATGCTCTTGTGGTCACTCATTCAAGCTGCTGAACTTAATTTTCCATCTATTCTGTTCAGCATTCATTAATGCCAGAGGCCTTATTTTATCATAAAATTATGCGTGCAGGGATCTCTATGCTTCCTATATCATTGAGAGCTTGAGGCAGTAAGACATTACCGGAAATGTTGCTTGACAACACAAATGTTGTCTTAATTGATGTATAATGTATCCTAAGACACTATGCCCTGTGCAGATTTGCCCATGATCTAGTTTTCCAGTAGTGTCAGGTAGATACTTGGTTTATATCTTGCAGCGCCTCTTAAGACACTTTGTATGTTCTTCATGTGTGCTGCCGCTTGTTTGATCCCAAGGTACGCGTTTTTGCTTAATGCGGTATGATGTTGTATTACTAATATTTATAGATTTAAAGCAAATCTGCTTGAATTATTATTATTGTGGTCAGCATTATTTTGTTTGTTCCCATCATCTCTAATACATGTTGTGTAGTCTGCTCAGAAGCGTTTAGAAACTAAATATCTTATGAAATGTTTTATTTGATCACAGAATCGAAACTAAGCATGCTTGATGATTTTTTTTTTTTTTTAATTGATAGTCTAGAAACAAGATGCTTTAAGAAAACCTAGTCATGAACGCACTTTCAAGTGGGGGTAATAAAGACTGCAGCAGCTCTGAATCCACAACATGCCCCAAATATAAGGATTCACGATCCGTTATCTTGCAAGTGATATCACATATCAGTGACCCTCATCGATTGAGTTTATCAATCTGACTTTATTCGAATTTGATCCACATTAAGATGCTTGATGTACAGAGCTCTCGATGTGATCAAAGCCTACAGTGTTGATCAATTTGACTTGATTCGAGCTTGATCCACATTAAGTGGCTTGATGTATGAAGCTCTTGATGTGATCCAAACCTAAGGTGTTGATCTGTTTGACTCGATTCAAACTTAATCCACATTAAGAGGCTTGATTTACGAAGCCTTGGATATGATCCAAACCTAAGATCAACAGTGCTATCAGTTGATGATTCCAAACCAAGCATCTACGTAACATCGTGACACCAAGGAAAAGAAAGCAAATACAACATACATATGATCACTCGACAAAATATCTCTTCTTTGAATCAGTGAGTGAGGTGTAACAGATGCATTTCTTGGATGTCACTGTCGAGGGCATCCAATAAATTAAAATTCGACGTGATCATATAATTCCAATTAAGTGGAAGTAAATGAAGTACACAAACAAGATAATAGTGCTTTTGCAAGCAAAGCTTTGTTTGAAGACTAAAGCCCATCAAACAACTTCACGAAATCTTCGAGTGTCTCCCCATGCCTAATTTTCACTACAGAACCTTTGTCCACCTATAGAACAATCGGTAAGGAGACGGACAATCACATCTGCTTATATCTAATGAAGTGATATAGGAATGAGATTGCAGCAATTAGTAAAGGGCAAAATGAAGCTCATACCCAATATTCTGGTGGTCGCATTTTGAGGTTATATGTTGAGGCCATGCTCATGCAGTACGCACCAGCATCGTGGACAACTAAACCAGCTCCCTGGGAATTGAATTCCATTTCAGCAATGACAGTTAGTGAACGACAGACAACTAGCAGAAGAAGATTTGAGAAAGAATCGGACCTTAGCTGGTGTTGGAAGCTCTCTGTCCTTCCCAAGAAAGTCTGCAGATTCACATACAGGCCCCACCACATCATAGGTCGAAACTTTAGCGTCGGCAAGAGGAGGAGAAACCAGTTCTATGTGCTGAAACATGACATCAACGATACAAGTTATGAGCCAGGAATAGAACAGGGTGTTGCATCTCAAATAACTATTTATTCGTTCTCCAGGTGTGAGTTACAAAAGTGATAAAAAGCTTACCACTTAAGTGATATAGGTTATGTTAATAATGGTTATTTCATAATGGTCTTAATTGTACATCAAAAAAAAATTCTTCTTTGCATCAGATAAAAAATAGACAATAGAGGAAAAAGGTGTACCTTCAAGTTTGGATGGAATTAAAAAAAAAAGAGAAAAGGTATACTAGAATAAAAGGCTAGAACAACGCATCAAAAAATATGCTCCAGGAAACCTTCACAAAAGGGTGCACCGATGTGTAACATTGAGTATATGAGATGGGAAAAGGAGAATGACATGAACAATGCTTCATCAAGTGATTAGAAAATGTGCATGCTTATCAGGAAATAAGAGGTTGAATGGCAAGAATTATGAAGGATTAAAAATCATATATGGAAGAGGAAAAGGCATTGTGAAAGCTTTCGTTCACAACCCAGTCTAAAGCAAGCAATAATAAACATTTAATGTAATAAAGCCAAAATGCTTGAAATCTGCATACAGATAAAAGCTTTCTCAATGCAATATACCATTTTTGGACTAAGCAGAGGAACAATAGAAGAACTCTGCTGAAAAGCCTATCGAATAAATTAGAAAACTGATTATGATTTGACAAAGAACTTTACATAGGCTTTTTGCATCAGTTACCTGATATGCTCCATAGAGACTGGGCCGGATGAGCTCTGCCATGCTGCCGTCAATCACTATAAAATTTTTTGTGCCATTAGTTTTAACACCAGTCACCCTATTAACTAAGCAGCAAGTATTGGCAATAAGCGATCTCCCAGGTTCAATGATGAGAGTAAGATCTCGAGAAAGAACCAATTCTCTCACCTACAATATACAACTACAGTTAGTACAAAAATAAAATGAGTAGAGAACTGTAGGCAGTGATAGTCGAGACATTGTAAGAACTGGAGTATAACAAAGGAGGAGAGGTCTCAGATAGCACATAAGAAAATTCTGGCACCAAGACCGAAATGTTATCGTGAATAAGCACTCTTCACATCAAGACAAAAGGTAAAAAGAAATTACATGTACAAATACCAGCTATACAAATCAAAACTCACTTGTATGACAGTAAATATTAAACTGGAACAGGAGAAAAATTGACGTGTTTTGAAAGAGAGTTTATATGTATTTAGCTTACAGTGTTTATGAGATCCATCGGTGTTGGAAGAACTGCGCCTGTATGATGGTAATCAATTCCTAGACCACCTCCAATATTCAAATACTCCACCTGGAAGCCTTGTGCCCGAATTTGGTCAATGAAATTTACCATCAGAATTGCAGCATCTCTGAATATATCCACCTAACACAGACAATGGTAAAACCTTAGACGACATGACTATGAATCATAAATGTGACACAGGTTACAGGTTGCAAAGGAGTAACCTTACCGTCATACAAAGACCTGCCCTCATATTTTGGAACAATACATCTAAAATTTCAGCAACTGTCTAAAAAGCGGCACCAACATGGGTACAGATACTAGCATTTGAAACCTTGGTACTAGGCTCTTCTTAAATATCAAAACATAACCTATTCAATCAAGAAGAAAGATTCCTTGATGCAGAATGAAAAAGGTAATGCCAGGTTTATCATTTTGATAACTGTCACCAGCTCTATATATACAAAAATTTCTCACAGTTAAACAATCAATAGTTACAAAGCAGCAACCATATCAGTGTCGCATATAAAAAAATTGCAAGCTGTTCTACAAGGCTCCCATGCCATAGCCCAGGGCTTATCCTCTCTCCCTGATGTTGCATCTATACATTAATAATGAGAAAAACATGATAACATAGTTAATGAAAAGAACATATAACTACCTTTGTGATAGTCGACCCGAGATGACAATGGACTCCTACAAGATTGATTTCACTTGAATGTGTCTTGACAGCATCAAGAAACCACTGAAGTTTTTCATTTCGGATACCAAATTTGGATGTCTTATTTCCAGTGGCAACATAAGGATGCACCTATATGGAAATGGCAAATAGAAGATCTTTGAGCACCAAAGTAATCCAAGACTATTGCACAGTAACACAAGTGAAACAGCAATGATACAACCTAATGATTTGCAAAGTTGAAAGGAACAATCTCATCCATAATTATAATATATAAGATAAAAGGAAAGTGATAAAAATGATATCCAAGAAAAAAAACTCAAGGTGCTAATTCATTTGCCTTTAAAAGTGCTAGAATATAACTTGATTCACCCATTCAACAAGTTGTAAACTATTTGGTTCAATATCTTAGTTTTTCGACCATACATTTATTCTAAACAAAATAAATCATCAAGAAACTAACATATTTGTGAATGAACCTAAAGTAGTAAAGAATGTAATTGAAACTGTATATTACTGCATCTAAGTGGCATGAGACATATACAAGAACTAAATGTACTGCAAATATTACATGGTCAAGCATACAGTACACTAACGCTTATGTATAAGCATTTGTCATTTTATTCTGGAGACATCAATAACGAGAACAAAAAAGAAAAGGTGTAAAAGTATGGATGGATATATGCTAAAGAAGAAGGCAGAGTGAAGATGGACAAGTTGAAGAGAATAAGAATTAAGGAAAGGTCAATGACTTAAAATGGACAGAAGGGTTCAAAAAGTATGATCCACATACAATTTCAAGAGAAAGTGGGTGATAGAACGAACCCACACAATTATCTAGTTCTCACAGGTTAACAAAAGAGCAAATCCTGGACATGCACACACACATACATACACACAGAGTGAGAGAGTACTTCATGTCTGAAAAGAGTATAATAAGATGAAGGTTCTCTCCTGAAAAGATAAATTTTAGGAGTATAATAAGTATAATCCTGGACATAACTCCTAGCATGCTTGGTGAAAGCATCATGATAAGTTTTATCATATTCCTCATCATAGATGGGGTCATTTTCTGGTTCAAAATCATAGAAAGAATGGCAGCAAACAACATTGTAAAGACCTGCTTTTACAATGTTAAGAACTTCAAATGGTAGGTCACAGCATAACATTAGCAAATCTAGAGCAAAACTCAGAGGTTGAATGTGTAGGTAAAGAAGCCCAACTGCAATGTGATGCAAAATACAATCAAAGAAAGTGGAGGGAAATATCATGAGAATATTGACATGATTTGGGACATTATGGCTTCTTGTTGTTGTTGTTGTTGTTGTTGTTGTATAACATTGACATGACATTCCAAGCCTTGAATGGCACATCAATTTGTCAAAGAGAACCAAATATCATGAGAAGATAAAAGAAGGTTCAATGGATGTGTGCTTACAGGTGTTTGTGGAGATT